GCGGCTTTGGCGCAGACAACGATGCGCTAATTCATGAATACCGCTAAAAATTATTTATAAATACAATATATGGCACGGACATATGTAGCGCTAATTCATGATTACGCCAACAACTCCATACCTAGAGACTGCGCTAAAAGAATAGGCCGAATTATGTACACGTACAGTATATTGATATAAAGTTTCGACAGTGTTATAGCTAGTTCAAACATCCTGAAGAGCTAGCAACACTGATTTTGAAAGCTGAGGTGACAACCATGAGTTTTTCAGGGACAAAGCAGACTACGTCCTGATCCAAAATTTTTACAGATTTTGTAGTTTTTAATCTAAAATGTGTACTTCCCCTCCCAAGCTTCCTATTTCAAAGGAAACGAGTCCAAATTCCACGGGTGCTCTCACTTTTCAACGTTTAAAAAACTTTTAAAATGAAAATGATAGTTAACCCTGAATTTTTCGATGTTACAATTTGAATCTAAAATGATAGCTGTTTAATACTGATAATTCTACAGATTTTACTTACTGTTCAAGAGTGAAATATAGCAGTCGAGGTGATTCAAACATGTTCCACAATTATTACAGATTTCAACACGGAAAAAACACACAGAAGGAAAATGTTCAAATCAGCTGCTTTCTGGGTTTTGTCGTTAATTTGTCAAACTTCTGGATTCAATATATCACGGCTGATGACAATTTATATTGAAGCCTGTGGAGAAAAACACATGTGTGTCGACTGGCCAGGCGTAACAAAGTATCAACCTCACCTGGTACTCTCTCGTTGTCAGCCTTGCTCCTGTGAAGAATCTTGCTTTCAAGACTTGAACTGTTGTCCAGATAAGTTCTTCCAAAGACCATTAGCTGTATTAGATACTCCTCACGTTCATATGGAAAAGACATCAAAACTAGATCTCAGGCCCATGTACGAGATAATCACGACTTGTCCGGAATTTTCCACAGAAATAGAGAACCAAAAATGTGAAAATGTTTCTGTCGATTTTGATTCTAATAATCCAGTTAGCTCTCTTGTTAGCAACCATTCTTATCGGAATATTTTCTGTGCATATTGTCACGGAGAAATCGAATTAAATTTAGTCAAATGGGACTTGTCCATTGATGCAGAGTTTACAAATGTAAATTTCGTCAACTTTATTGAATCTTATCAACAACTGCGATTGCTATCAAAAACCCAGAGAGCAACTGTTGTGTATTCTCCATCAGCTAGTATGGAGGAAATTGTCCGACCGATATTTTTGCATCCAGATAGGTATTTCACTCAATCTTGTCCGGATGATGAAGATTTAGATATCGCTTGTTCATCCTCTTACGTCAATCAGTTTAGACTTCATAAGAACATTTTCTGCTATTTATGCAAATTGAAACGGTTGAAGAGAAATGGACCTATCATAGACTCCTGTTCATCACAAATCAATGAAACGATCCAAAAATGTCGACAAAGTTCTATTTCATCCATCACGTATCCATACAAAAATTTCTACTGTTTCCAATGTAACATCCCTCTAAGGAATCTAGAGATTGCTGAAGCACGGCGTTGCCATGGTAGTGATTGCGAAGATGCCGTACGATATCATTTTTCTGACTTTTCAACAAATGCACGTGAAATTTATATTTCTGATCGAATGAAAAAGAAAAAATTCTACATTAAGTTTCATAACACAACTTTAAGTAGTGATTCTATTCTTAGAATGATAAGAGATTCCAACAAGAGTGGCATTCATTTTCCAGTTGAAACTGTGGAACAGAATAATGGTGGTTTTGTTCAGCTTTTCAACACAATCGCCGCAATTAATCCCTATCGACTCTGTAGACGGGATCTGTTACCTGATAGTGTTGGAAACCTCACTAGAGAACGACAATGTGATTGTTCTTATTCCTGTCTATTTCTTGGAAGGTGCACTTGTTGTATTGACACAGCACTGCTTCATCCTGTGGAATGCATCAACCGAGTATCCCCGTTCTCCAAAACTCAAACAAAGGGAAGCATTCTTGTTGTCTCAAGGTGCTATAAAAATAATATGGAACTGAAATCTACAATTGAATACGAAAAAGTCAAGCACCTGTGCGAGGAAAATCCTAATGATTATAATATTCTGATCTTGTCAAGAAACATTACTTACAGAAATATTTTCTGTTTTCTTTGTAACACAAATTACACTATTGAACATTATAGTCTTATACACGATCCTTATAAGGTTGTCGACTTCTACATAATTTGCGAATTCCAGTTCAATTTTATTTATTCAACGAATTTCAGCCAATTTATTCAACAGGCTAAGACTCAGATGTGTGATGTAACGCACTACACATCCGAATTGGTCACATGCGATCACAAAGCTTCGGTTTCAACATGGAACTGTCCACGTATTGAAAAAGACTGGGTTGTAAAATGGATGTGTGAAAACCCCAGTCCCCAAGCATTTATGCCCATGGGAAGGTTCAAAAATGAATTTTGTCAAATGTGTAATTCAAATGAAATTGGTGACATAAAAGCTTGCAATCATTCAGATATTTTTGATGTGAAATTCAAAAACGCCTGCTTGACTCTACCAGATGTTAGAAATCACCCATTTGTTCATCCCTTCAGAAACCAGTTTTGCTCTCATTGTGAAGGGAATGAAGCGCTGATGGAAAATACGATCTTTTCCAGAACCAACTGCGAACCGACGTACGGAACCGTTAAACCACATGTGAATCCTTTAATGAGGGAATTATATTTCCCAAAGATAGAATTAAGTGAGCAACTCTTGAAGAGAAAAGTCCAGGTAAATATATTATATTGAATACAATTACATTTTACTTTATGGGGAGGTGCAATTCCAAAAGGTACGAAGATACCTTAGTTGCATGTTGGTTTTTCAAATATGTCCATTATTTTCCAAGAAATATTTTTCCTTTTGTTCTGAGTAATCAGTATTTATCATTTTTCCTCAATTATAAAATTGTTGCTGTTTTTGAGTTCAGTAGGATTATTTAGCCATCTTCATATTGACTGATCCCCCCAAGCAGAAATTGGTTTATTATATGATTCAATGAAACAAACCCTTTAACAAACCTTGCCATCTTCCTTGATTGTTTATTGTTGAAGTCCTAACCGAACTCAGTGAGAGACACGGAATTTAAAAAAAATATTAACCAATTGTATAAATTTGGAATTTCTTGATTTATTTTTTGATGCAATGTAAAAAACAAATTTATATTCACCTCGAAGTCGAGTTCAGGTGAAATAATTTTTTTAAAAAAGATCTTGATCTATATTTGATCCAATGTAGAAAAAACATTAAATGTTATATTCACCTGGAGGGTTGGATGCAGATGAACATATTTTTTCCACTTCTTTTCAATTTTGAAGTTCTCTATATTTGGTCCAATATATGTAGAAAAAAATAAATGTTATGTTCACCTGAAAGGTCTCGTGCAAGTGAACGTAATTTAGTACGATTTCTGCAATGTTGAGTATAAATTTTCATAAATTTGATTATTGTTCGGGATTTTAGATACGCACAACGTAAAGAACTCACAAAGTAAATTACAACGATGGGGAAAATAATTTAGAGTTTTATGACTATGAAGCTCGAATATTGGGTTTCAAATCTAGTTTTTTTTTCTCTGGTATTCACTCCTAGAGATTAGGTACAGGATGATACCTGGTGAATACCTTTTACATTTAGCTCAGCAAAACTAAAATCTACTTGCCATGTATCATCATATATCATCAGGAATTTATTGAATACAGATAGGGCCACGTAGTTAACTAATATCGATTTTCATAGGGCACAATGACGACATTGTTGAATGGAAACATGTTTCGTGAATCAGTAAATGAAGTTGAAATAGGTTGTATACGGAAGTACATTATTCAAACTTATACTTTAGTCTACTGTTACAGTAATATAGTTTTTGTCAGGGTATTGCTTAATAATCTGCTATTCATAAGAGATCTATGTATCTTTTAGTTGACTAAAATCGTATCGAGTTTAACAACGGATGCTCGGTGGCAATTTCGGTTGATATTGGTCTAGCAGTTTTGGCCACAATATGGGGGAAAATTGTGATATATTTACAGTAAAAGAGACGGACAAAGACAATAGAAAACATTTATTTAGAATATCTCATTTGAGCCTTCGGTAAAAAAAATAATAATCTTCTTTCAGAAAATGGATCATATCTGTTATCCCGGGAGAGTTCTGGTTGGAGGAGATTGTAGACCAGTCATACGCAATCCAAAACGAATTACTTATGCACTATATATATTATGTCAACTCAATGTAACATCGACAAGCAATGATAGTAGCAAGATTATTAGTATAGCTAGTAATTCTGTGGGTGAAAGTTTAAGCCTACGGTTTGCTATCACAAACGTAATTGTTTTCAGCGAATATTTCTTTTTACCAATTTCTCCTATTGTAACAACGTTTACAGAGGGATACTTTCACTTTACATTGCAAGTGAATTTGTATTTTGAATTGACTTACGTCAAACGGTTTGACAGGGATAAGGTTGAAAGAGATCTTTTAGCGTTACCGGCCAATTTGTCCATGAAAGTTAAAGCACAAGGGGATGAATATATTTCAATGGATTTAAAAGGCATAAGGTTATCCGACATAAAAGCTCTGAAATCGCAAGAAATTATACTACCCGATGTATACGCATTATTTGTCGCTCAAAAATATAGTTTATTTCTTAATCTAGTTCCATCAAACTTTGTTTATGTAAGTAATTTACTTTTATGTCGTCAGAGAATGTTTAGCGAAAGCGAAGTTGAATTTGACACCAAGAACGGTCACATCACTGCAAAAAGGACCAAAGAAATATTTTACATAGGCGAATATGTGGTAGATTTTGACAAAAAATATCGAGTTTGTGTTCAGTCCGACCAGTCATACATAAAAAGTTCTGAGCGCGATTATGCCGACAAACTGGAGACCTTTACAACTGTTTTGAACATTATCAGCATCCTTTTCTTGTTGATCTTGTTTGTGATTTATATGAAAGTTCCCGGATTGCGCACACTCCCTGGTTTGAATATAATGAACACAACAATATCTCTTTTCTGCATGCAAGTAACTTATACAGCAGCAAATGTTTTACGAAGGTCGTCCTTGCTTTGTCAGATAACAGGTGTAATTTTGCACTATTTCTGGCTTTCCCAGTGTTGTTGCCTCTTTATCTGTTCTCTTCATATGTTCAGGACATTTTCTTCTCACAGATACAAGTCTGGAAACAATCGTGGCCAGAATATCAGGTCGATATTTACATGTTACACTTTTTTCTGCTACTTCACACCCTTAATTATTGTTGTTGCTAATGTGATGTTCACGTTTGGTTTAGAAGGGAACATCGGTTATGGGAAATATCTGTGCTTCGTTGAAAACCTTGCTCAAAACATCGCCACGTTTGTTGTTCCATTGACTGTCACTTGTACGGTAAATACTGTCTTGTTTATTCTTACTCTTCTTAACATAAATTTTGTCAAAAACATCAGAAAATCAAAAGAGAACACATCAGAGCTCCTTATTTCAATCAAACTATTCAGTCTGACGGGAACGGTATGGATTCTCCAAGTGTTAGATAGTCTATTACATATTTCAGTTTTTTCGTTTGTGGTAACCTTTCTGACATCGTCACAGGGCTTTTTTATTTTCCTGAGTTTTTCTACATCTTCGAGAATTTTAAAATACTTGGAATCTCTTTTGGGGAAAAGAAACAATATGGGGTTAGGAGAAAAAATGGAAAAATGCAACATAGAAGCTACACTTGGCATTACAGGGACTACTTCAAACACCCTCGAAGCTTCAGTCAGCTACAATTCTACCGGAACAGCGTAAAAAAATTGTGTATGTATCTGTGTAGTTCTTTTTGTTTGTTTGAGAGGAAGGGTTCGTCTTTGTTTGGGTTATGGGCCTAAGTTGTGGTGTTGGAAGGGGGGTGGTATTGTCGCACTTTGATTTACACTAAAATCCGTGATTAAGTCATAACGGTGGAACTCTGTTAAGTAAAATCTATAAGATATACTGGTACATTTGGTCGAACACCTTTCCCATTCCATAGGAAAGTGACAGTATTTCTAACTTCTAATTGGGGCTGACTTTGAAAGGTCCTGTTAAACTGATTAGAATTTTAAGTATATGTACTTGTATTTTCTTTTCTACTAAATTTCTTGAAAATACTCTCCGTTACTTTCGTGTAGCTTTTTCTCGAGATGCCTTGTTCCCATATGCTCATCCGTTTCCTCCGAGTCTCCCCTTTAATTGCTTCTTTTGCCAATACCATTTCTCTAATATTTTGTCACCATTCTATTCGTGATTCTTATCACGATTCCTTCCGTAAACTACTCTCTCTCTCTCTCTCTCTTTTAACAATTTGTGATAAGAAACTGGCGAAATGTTTGTAAACGATCTTAATTTCAATATTAATCATTTGAAAGTTTTTAATGACATCAACTATAATCATTAGGACATTTCGTTTCCTTTAGAGATTGAAAAAGCAATGTGATTCCTTAATAAGTGAATCGTATATAAGTTGATGTCAAATCGAGAATTCATTAGATTTAGGACCATTGATACATAAGTACACATCTTAAAATTCTTACATTATTTTTCATAGTGTTCAGTATTTCTTTTAACAATTATTGTATGATGAAATATGAAGATTACGAACAGTAGTCCAGCTCAAATGTCCATTGAAGCAATAAAAATCGGGAACAGAGCAAACACGGACCACTAAAAGCATCAGAGGTGGGATCAGGTGACATGGAGGAGTAAGCATCCCCTGACCACTGGTCACACCTGCCATGTGCTTCTAGTCATGATCGGGAAAACTATCTGAAAATATGAAATATCTGAAGACGATTCAGTGTGTAAATAAAGGCGTAACAATTAGTACATGTATGAAAAACATCAGTCAGCATTCGACTTAATGGCAGATTGTATTTGCTGACAATGTCATTGTATCGACCATACAACTTGCAAAATGTCGACTTAACAAGACTGTTGATTTCCTTGTTTCATCAACTTGTTTGTCAATAGTTTGCCTCGTTTTAGAAATTGTTCGTTTGCTCTTGTTTACGACTTCAACGTGAAATGTGGAATACGAGACTGGACCCTTTTGTGATTTAGATTATTACTTATATATTAACTTATACATGTATTAACTTCGCTATTCCTTTGTTGGCAAATTGAACTTAAGGAACAAATGGATTGTTTGAGCCGTATTTTCTTCCGTAAAACGCCTATGATTTGTAATATCCATAATCACAGATCCGAGCCTGTATTCTGGTGTCGAAGAATCCAAATATGGACTTTCCTTGACGTTTTCAAATAAACTATTTAAAACTTTGAAAGGGGCAGAGTAAAGTTTGGTGCGAATGTGATGAAGACCTAACTGTTTATTTACATAAAGTAGTAGTGAATCGAAAGAGGCATCGTGTGCAATAGATTTACTGTAATACCGATGTCAATACAGTAACTACGCTTACGTCTCTTGGGTGGACTTAAAAGATTCCCAACACTATCGACATTGTCATTGCTACCATATGTAAAGGCCGTAATGTGCCTAGTTTCCTAATTCAGTATTTTTCTCGTTGTCTTCGGAAAGATGTACTTATTGTTGGTTAATATTTTCTAGAATTCTGACTTTTATTGACAAAATAGAATGATCAGGTTAATTGCAGTGCTTGTAAAGAAGCTCTTAGGTAAAGAAAACCCTTGGTTTCACCAACATAAATAAGCTCACAAAAGGTACATTCAGATTCTATTCCTTTTTTTCATATGATGATACAACTATTAAGGTAAATCGTTCCTTAGTCTCTGTTTTTGTTTTTGTTTTTAGTTTGTTTGTTTGTTTGTTTTTTTGCAAAGAATATTCTGTAAGTCTTCAAAACATGATAACTATCTATTGAGAATCTTTGTAGTCAGCTTGTTGTTGTACAAGGAGGAATTAAATTTCGCCTCCCAGCACTAAAATTCTTGTGAATCAAAATGGTTTTCAAGTCTACTATTCCATTGCTGTTCAAAGAAGACATCCATCCATAGTCGTCCAAGTACCCCCCCCCCCCCCCCTCCATTCTTCACAATAGACAGGGAAATTTATGTTTTGTTAAGCTTAATTGTAACATGAAAACATTCTAAAAGATGAATAGAAATAAATAAGGTAAGTTCTTATAATTTATAACACAATGTCGATCTTGACATAGTACGAGTTATCCAATGGTTAAGTAAAATCCACCCTGGTTTTCATTGGAAAAGCTGATCCCGTATCTAGTTTTATTGTCAATCAGTTTTGCGTTGATTTCAAGCTGTACCTAAATGATTTCTTTGGAATTTTGCAAGTTAAATAAATGGCATTTCCAAACTTGTCGTAAAGTTTTCTATCTGTAAAAAGTGTTTTGACCCCCACAATTACATTGGCTTTCTCTTGTTTCTGCACATTCCCTAAATGTGTCCTTTTTAGAATTTATACAATTTATAGAAATTTCTTTCTAAAATAAATATCACTTCATTTCTATCTTGTTGAGTTTCTATCTATTACTGATGTTTATGTAATTTTTCATGCCTGGTGGTCCTCGATGTTTATGTTGCTGCGTCCTTTGTAATCGTCGTCTATCGTATCCCGAAACTCTGAGTGCTTCTGCCAATTCTCTTAACTGAGCAAATTACTCCCTGATTCTTCCGGTCTCTGGTTCTTTTAGGAAATCCAAATCTTTAGGCAATTCACTAAAATGAGAATTCAGAACGTAAACGATCTTGGCCAACTGCCTTGTTAGTATATCCGCTAATTAAAATAACACTGAAAGTTTCTCACCGATGTCCTCATTATTTGCAAGAAAATACCTGGAAAAGTATAAACCATGCGCAAAGTAGGATCTAGGGTAACCCGAAAATAATTTTCAAAAATGCAAGTAAAAACAATTCCCATGATCGCCTTTGCCATGGATACGGAAAAAGGTCAGTTATGGGTGACATACACTATTGTCTGCAAGTTCACATTTCTAGTTACTATAGTAGGTTCTGTTAGTCAATGTTGTTCGTTGCTATATTATATCATGATAAGGGTAACTGTATGTTTTCGTCAAGCGTTTCTTGAATGATTAAAGTAGAGTATTTTACTTGAAAATATAGTAGTAGAATTGCTCTGCTTATGAGTTTTAGACTGAGTGGTAAAACACGTTTTGATGGAATGAGTTAAATAGATTTTATTGTGCTTGTAGAATTCTAATATACATTTAATCATTGTAATTCTTGTAATAATTTTCTTCGAATAAATTTAATTTGTCATTTATTTTGGAATTTTTGTTCTTTTCTTTTAGAATAAAAATTCTTGAAAGTAAGATGTTAATGGTTTTAGAAAATAGAATTAGTAATTTGTCCCTTGATCACTTGTACTTGTATTGCGTTAATGGATGTACAAAATTCACAACGCCTCTCTGTTGAACTTGAATAAACATAAAATGACTTGAGGGAAGGTTATGGTTTTCCCTCTCTGCTCGTGAAGTTTGCAGTCTGTAGGCTGGTAATTTTTGTGATTGCAGTATGGTAGGATAGAATTTTTAGTCTGTGTGATGACATTTTTTGGTTTGTTTTTTATGCGGAATGAAGTTAGGATGGTTGATGGTTTGGTGTTATGGTAGGACGGTATTTTTCTTTGGTATGTGATGGTGGGATGGTGTTTGGTGGGAGATGGTGTTTGATGGTTATTTTGGTGTGGTGATGGTGGCATGGTGTTTGGAATGTGTTTGCTGTGTAATGGTGACATGGTGTTTAGTATGTAATGGTGTTTGGTTGTTATTTTGTTTAGTGTGTGATGACGTATTGTGTGGGATGGTGTATGGTGTGTGATGGTGTGATGGTGTTTAGTGTGTGATGGTGGGATGGTGTTTGGTGTGTGATGATGAGTTGATGTGTGGCGTGTGATGGTTTGGCGTCTTATGGTAGGATGGTATTTGGTGTGTGATGGTGGGATAAAGTTTGGTATGTGATGATGGGATGATGTTTGATGTTTAATAGTGGAATGATGTTTGTGTGTAATGGTTTGATGGTGTTTGGAGTGTGATAGTGTTTGATGGTTTTTGTTGTTTGATGTTGAAATGGTATTTTGGAAGGTTATGGTGAGATGGTTTTTGATGTGTGATGGTGGAATGATGTTTGTTTTTCATTGATGGGATAATGTTTTGATGTGTGATGGTTTAAAGGTGTTTGAAGTGCTTTTGTGGGATGGTGTAGTATGTAATGGTAGGATGGTGTTCGGTGTGCGATGGTGTTTTGTGTGTGATGGTAGGATGATGTGTGGTTTGTGAGGATGGAATGGTGTTTGGTGTGTCATGGTGAAATAGTAATTTTTGGTATGTGATTGTGGGATGGTGTTTGATGTTGTCTGATGTGTTATGGTATGCTGGTGTTTGCAATGTAATAGTATGATGATGTTTGCTATGTGATGGTTTGACTGTGTTTGGTGTGATATGATAAGATGGTATTTGGTGGATGCTGGGATGATGTTTGCTATGTCATGATGCTTGGTGTGTGATGGTAGGATGATGTATGGAATGTGATGGTAGTATGATGTTTGGTGTGAGATGGTAGGATGATGTTTGGTGTGTGATGATAGGATGATGCTTGGTGTGTGATGGTAGGATGATGTTTAGTGAGTGATGGTACGATAATGTATGCTGTGTGATGGTAGGATGATGTATGGTGTGTGATGGTAGATGATGTATGGTGTGAGATGGTAGGATGATGCTTGGTGTGTGATGGTAGGATGATGTTTGGTGTGTGAAGGTAGGATGATGTTTGGTGTGTGATGGTTGGATGATGTTTGGTGTTTGATGATAGGATGATGCTTGGTGTGTGATAGTAGGATGATGTTTGATGTGTGATGGTAGGATGATGCTTGGTGTGAGACGGTAGGATGATGTTTGGTGTGTGATGGTAGGATGATGCTTGGTGTGTGATGGTAGGATGATGTATGGTGTGTGATGGTAGGATGATGTATGGTGTAAGATGGTAGGAAGATTCTTGGTGTGTGATGGTAGGATGATGTTTGGTGCGTGAAGGTAGGATGATGTTTGGTGTGTGATGGTAGGATGATGTTTGATGGTAGGATGATGCTTGGTGTGTGATAGTAAGATGATGTTTGATGTGTGATGGTAGGATGATGCTTCGTGTGAGATGGTAGGATGATGCTTGGTGTATGATGGTGGGATGATGTTTGCAATGTGATGATGCTTGCTGTGTGATAGTAGGATGATGTATGGTGTGTGATGGTAGGATGATGTATGGTGTGTGATGGTAGGATGAAGTATGGTGGGTGATGGTAGGATGATGTTTGGTGTGTGATGGTAGGATGATGCTTGGTGTGTGATGGTAGGATGATGCTTGGTGTGTTATGATAGGATGATGTATGGTGTGTGATGGAAGGATGATGTATGGTGTGTGATGGTAGGATGATGTATGGTGTGTGATGGTAGGATGATGTATGGTGTAAGATGGTAGGATGATGCTTGGTGTGTGATGGTAGGATGATGTTTGGTGCGTGAAGGTAGGATGGTGTTTGGTGTGTGATGGTAGGATGATGTTTGGTGTTTGATGGTAGGATGATGCTTGATGTGTGATAGTAAGATGATGTTTGATGTGTGATGGTAGGATGATGCTTCGTGTGAGACGGTAGGATGATGCTTGGTGTATGATGGTGGGATGATGTTTGCAATGTGATGATGCTTGCTGTTTGATAGTAGGATGATGTATGGTGTGTGATGGTAGGATGATGTATGGTGTGTGATGGTAGGATAATGTATGGTGTTTGATGGTAGGATGAAGTATGGTGGGTGATGGTAGGATGATGTTTGGTGTGTGATGGTAGGATGATGCTTGGTGTGTGATGGTAGGATGATGCTTGGTGTGTGATGGTAGGATGATGTATGGAGTGTGATGGAAGGATGATGTATGGTGTGTGATGGTAGGATGATGTTTGGTGTGAGATGGTAGGATGATGTTTGGTGTGTGATGGTAGGATGATGCTTGGTGTGTGATGGTAGGATGATGTATTATGTGTGTTGGTAGGATGATGTTTGGTGTGTGATGGTAGGATGACGCTTGGTGTGTGATGGTAGGATGATGCTTGGTGTGTGATGGTAGGATGACGCTTGGTGTGTGATGGTAGGATGACGCTTGGTGTAAAATGGTAGGACGATGTTTGGTGTGTGATGGTAGGATGATGCTTGGTGTGTGATGGTAGGATGATGCTTGGTGTGTGATGGTAGGATGTTGTTTGGTGTGTGATGGTAGGATGATGTATGGTGTGTGATAGTAAGATGATGTTTGATGTGTGATGGTAGGATGATGCTTAGTGTGTAGTGGTAGGATGATGTATGGTGTGTGATGGTAGGATATGTATGGTGGGTGATGGTAGGATGATGTTTGGTGTGTGATGGTAGGATGATGCTTGGTGTGAGATGGTAGGATGATGCTTGGTGTGTGATGGAAGAACGATTTTTGGTGTGTGGTGATAGGATGATGCTTGGTGTGTGATGGTAGGATGATGCTTGGTGTAAAATGGTAGGATGATGTTTGATGGATTGATCGATGATGTTTGGAGTGTGATAGTGAGGAAATCCTACTCTATAACACCGGTAGATGAGCAATCTCTAACACCTAACAGGATCTGTATGAGCGATGTGTAAATAGCTCGTTTAGGGGATGACCATTTAATCTGAAGGGTGTGTGGCAATATTTACGTGTATGATTCTTTATTTTCAAGCCACTGAAATGAAGGACAGATTATTTATTCCAAAGAGGAGCGGGGACAGATTTTTATAATTTAAAATACGTATAACCGGTATTTTTAGCGGAGTGCTAACTTTGGCTTATGTTAGCGGTTTTGTTTGAAGCCGCTTAAATTTTAGTCGCCAAATTTGCACTCTTCTTTATCACTACTGAATACAAGGGAAATCACTGAAATAACTTTGATTAATCTATTGTATAAGCAATATAGCTTTCATCTGGTGTTTTATTTACTCAAACTTTTGTGTAACTCGGTATTCAAACGTATATTAAACGTACTGAAACTTTTCTAAAAACTGAACTTCCTCTCTTTTGCAATGTCACGGAACTCTGTGTCCGTCAAAAAAAATTCCGCCAAAATTACTGGCATACCTTTGAGTAAGGAAAACGCCAAATTTTACACCCGTTAAAGAAACCCACTATACGGTATACTTTTTAGTTTTTATATGAAAAAGGGAAAGGAAAATGCCAAACTCCAAAACCTTACTCTTTTTCATACAGATTATTTATTTTCTTACCAATTGAGGTCATATTATTTATTTTCAACATTTTAGAGAACAAATCCCCAAATTCTTTCAAAGGTAACTGGTCGTTCTGTGAAACAAATATTGCTACTCTGTCTAAACTTGGTAGACTACCCATGTATTATTCAATCATCCTTAGATTATTGTTCTATTGGCATAGATTGGAAAATATATCAGAAACATCTTTATTACACTGTTCATATCAAGAATGTAAAAATCTTGGTCAATCTGACTTCAGTAACTGGTACATATGCATCAAACTGTTTAATTTTTATGTAACAAATTATACCTTAATTTACGCATCTGAAAACAATTAGATATGACCACTTGTAAAAGGTCACCGAGAAAATATTTCAAAAATCATTTTACCTAATACTAGCTTAAAATACATAATGAGGGTCAGGCATATGGAAAGCTGTTACATATGTTTTTCTTTATTAAAATGAATAATAGCAGAGTCCGCGTAATTTTTGAACGACCCTCGAACTTTTGACATCGAGAAATACTTGTCTTTAAAATCTTTAAACAGGGGAAATTAATGTGTAAATTTAGATTTAATTAAGTGCACTTGAATCCAGAATTGATGTGGGACACACTGCATCGAGTTGACACAGGACCCCTGAAAGTGGGAGGATGTATATTCATGTACGTATGCCTACTGATATCTAAAAAGAGTACTTTTTACATATATGCCATAGGTATACATATTTATAAAACGAGACCAAAGTATACCCGTGGTTAATTTGGATGACTAAACTTCTAAATGGAGTTATTACAGGTATTTACTCACAGGCATTTGTTTCGTATACGGGGCACCCCTACTTATTAATAATTTTATTAAAAATATAAAAGTGGTGAAAATAAGTAGGGGTGCCCCGTATACGAAACAAGTGCCTGTGTATTTACTTCTCTTATCTGTCAAGTGCACGTGTCCGTGAATAAATACTAGAGTGCGATTTAAAAACCAACTTTCGGTTTGACGAAATTATTGATCATAAAGGATTTTCCATAAGGAAAAAACTAAGTTTCTGTTTGGCAATGAATTTAGTCATTTTGAAGACCTTTCTAAAATCGTTGTATTTCTGTTTATTTGAAGTTCCTAAGTGACACAAGTAAAGGGGGATTGTAGTGAACTTTTAGTTGGCACGTCTCTAAAGTAAACCGTGACTGTAAGTATGCATGTCTAAATTATACTGAGAAAATAAATAACGTAAAAATCGAGTAATTTAGTATGTAAGATTCTTGTTTTTTCTTCTTAATAAAAGGGTCATCGACTGATACTCATACTAAGAGATCTAGCTAACTCTAAGAAGGATATATGTCTATTATCCTTTATGAAATCACCTGGTTAAAATGAAATTTACCCCCTGCAAGATATGCAAATTATGTGCATTAATTTTAATTATAAATTAAATTTCTTTTGAAAAATCATACGCGTTAAAGAAAAAAATATGGCTGACCAGAGGACTAATGAACCTTAAGCTAAATGTTTCTTTAGTTGGTCATCATTTACTTAATTCTTTATGCATTTATGTACCTACTGGATAGATCTTGATACTTTAGGATGCTTAGTACTCTCTCTCTCTCTTTCTCTCTCTCTCTATATACAATACTTTTTTAGGTGAATCGGAAAATGCCTCTAAAGCACGCTCCAGATATTGACAAAACGCCCTGTAAGACTTTCCATAGGCCTGGAAAAATTAGAATCCCACATCGGCAACAAATAATTACTATCAAAGGTGAGAAAAAAGAAAAATATGATGCAATTCAATTCAATTATTAGTTAATTGACCAATCAAGGAGGCCCTCAGGGGGAAAAAGAAAGCACATGTACATTGTAAATACTCATATATAGTGATATATACTTGTAGTACAATATATATACACACAAGAGAGAAATAGTTGCATGTTTGAAAGGGATGTTTGTGTGTGTGTGAGAGAGAATGTTTGCGTTTTGTAATCATTGTATTTCTTTCAATATATTAAATTATTACAGTATACATTGTTTTACAATGAAAAGAAACACAACGCACAGGTGCTCAAGGACAGGACCCTCTCCTGATATAGACCCATTTAATTTTTTTGCATAAATTATCTCTTAAGCTAAAATGAAACAAATATTTTTAAAAAATTCTACCCATCAGAACAGTTTATATAGAAATACTAAAGTATTTGAAAACTATTTGAAAATATTAGAAGTTCAATATAATTATAAGTTGTGTACTTGATTCTTTTTTTACTTTATCATGTATTTGTTGTATAGATCCAAGTCCCCTCACCCCCACTGCTCCTAATATACCTCTGTCTCCTGGAAAATCTCTGTCCATGAAGATAATGAGGTCTCCTGGTGGACGCTCTGTTAAAAGACTGAAGGACAGGAGGGCAAAAAGCAGTGGAGAGATGAGTTCTCAGACAGCAGATGTAGAGAATAATGATCCACAATCAGATAATGGAACAATAGACGAGAACAGTTCCCAAACATAAGGAAATAAGTCTAATCAATTGGTATTGAACAGTGATAATGAAGAAATATCTGAGGAAAAATTCTAGAGTTAACGAAATGTTACACTGAATGGCAAAGGAACTCAGAAAATATACAACAACAGCTTGCCTTTTCTGCTGAATTACATTTGTATTATGATTTTCTTGTAATCATAAGTTTTAATTCCCATGAGAATACTTGAAGTACATTATTCTGAATGATTGCTGCATGAATCTTTTCCTCACATCCATTCATTTTTTTTCCATAGATGACAGTACCTATCTCACACTGTTCAAACCCTAATGTAGATTTTCCGTAAGATCCGTGGAATTCCATAACAAATTCCGTGGAATTCCATGGAAAAAGTGTTCCATGGAATTCCGAGGAATTCTCGAGAGTATTGGGACGGAACTTTTTTGGAATGGTAAGGAATTTCAAATCTAGCCTGGAAAAGAGCGGAACAATGCCAGAATAGAAATTTGCAGAAATAGCTGGAAATCCATGGAATTCCAGGATATTTGGAAATCTATGGAATTCCACGGAAATCCAAGGAATTCCAGGAAAATACAAAAACTGGAATAATCAAAATAATTTAAGGGCCAAATAATTACAAAAAAAAATGACTACATCACAATTTTTCATAAATCAAATCTATATTTTCAAAATAAAAAATCATTTTTGCTTTACAATGTGTTTGGGGACAAATATTGCATACACACTTCTATGTATAATGAAAGCACAAATTTTAAAAAGTATTATCAATGAAAGTATTTTACATCAAAGATTATTTAAACAATGTTAAAAATCCACAGAAAAATATCATTACTGGATGATCACCTTGGTTTAATTAATGAGAATTATTATAATATACATGCATGTACATGTAGTAAATTACGGTCTGCATGAGAAACAAATGACTTTTGGTTAAAGAAAATCCTTTGTACCTAGAGTAATCTCAAACATATGACATTTTTTAATAATAAAACAAAATAGATTTTAAAAAAAACATTAATTATGACCTTTTGCTTCATTGAATGACCTTGGGAAAGGTCACTAAAGCCTTAACAGGGTATATTTGCAACATTTGTATACAGTTACAATGATCTTCCAGTGGTCCATATACATTTACCATACAAAGTTAATGACTAGAGTGACAAACATATGTATTAAGTACACAAATATCTACTACACAACTATATTTGAAAGATCCCATAAAATCAACACATGCTATTTTTTTCCCCAACATGCCCCAAGATCCTAATTATTGAGGGTCCTAAACTTCTGAAGTATTGGCTAGAATCACTTCCTCACTGGTTCTGTTAGAGGGTGGTCAGATAATTGGTGTCACGAATGGATTCACTTTTGGTACGACGGCTTCAAAAGCTCAGCAAGTTTGATGTTGATCATTCTCAAAGACACTTCAAACTTTTCTTGCTCAATTTCTGAAAGAAAAGATTACCATAAAGTTGTATGATATCTATCTCATGTATAAATATATGACAAATAATAAACTAAAGCTATATAAGACAATTGGTTCTTTCAACCTGGCAGATCAGTTTAATACTGTAGAATAGGAATTTATTATCTTGTAATTTTTTGTTCAGATTAGGATTGATTTCTTTTTAAACTAATGGAAGTTGTGAAATTAAAAAAAAATAAAGAGACATGATTGTGTCTAAGTTAATTAACCTTGAATATGAGAGAGAACATTGTAAATTACATAAACTATGTACCCTTAAAAACATTCAGCAAATAAAGTTAAGGTATGAAAAAAAGTACATTAGTAAATATTATTTATATACCATATAAAACATTCAGTTTTGCCTTGTCAATGGCTCGTCTTTTGTCTCTTAAGCTTCTGATTAAAAGCACCTTGAACAGGAGTTTGGACGCCTATGCTGCCTTTGATATATTATCCTCCATATCATCTTACTCCGTTAACTGACCCTTGAAAAGAGGAAAAGACGAATTTATAGGCATATGTAATTGCTTTAAATGCACATTGGTTAATTTACAATGTAACAAAAATATAGACAAAGCAAATAACATAAAGTGAATATATAGAATACATTTGTTCTAGGCTTCAAACATGCAAATACATGTACATATACTTTATTTTTGAAAAATTAAGAAAATATTAAATAAACTGTTATAAATACATGTAACTTCCATGCCTCAACAATTCAGTATTGAGTAAGATAATATATTAGTACATGTATACATGTACTTCTTTATTTCTGGAAATTTATATCTGCGACTAGGGTTATAGGTTTGTGTAAGAATATGATGAATGACATTGACAAGGTGTAGGTAAAAACTTGTGAACAGGACAGAGAACTGACATAGGAAACAAGTTAAAAGCAACAACTTCTTAAAATAACTAAAATATATTTGAAAGAGTGGAGTCTAAGGTTAATAATAACTTTTCTCAATGCCTGGCTAACATTGATAAACACATAATTTCAATTCTTTTGATTTTATTGATTAGGAAAATGATTAAAAAATCTTACCTTTGTGTAAATTTCCATACAGCTCTCTCGCTCTTGTCCATTTTGTGAGCATTCCTGTAAATAATGCATGCATGATTTTATGTCATAGAGTATAGTCATTTTTAGTATTTATACTTAAATAAAATGTAAAATGATTATGCATGTAGCATTTAGCATGTTTAGATTACCTGTCAAAAGTTATAATTGTTATGCATTATTAAGGAATTAAGAATATAAACCTCTTGTTACTTGCTCAATAAAAAAAATCTTACGCTATAAAACATTAATTAATAAAAACAATGTTAGTTTATTTGTGCTGAATGATAATTTGAGCAGGCTCTCACCATTCTCACAAGCTAGGTGACTGAATGACTTAGCATCTACATCTACATATTAGGACATTTCATCAAACTTGATGATTATATGCCGGCGCTGTGCAAATCGAGTACTTCAGCTATAAAATAATAAAAGTAAGTGCTGTGAATGATCATGAACATGCATTAAAAAATAGATACAATTATTTACAATGTACTCTGTAAATGTAAGTAGTACATGTACTAAGGAATGTTATTAGCTAATAATTCAGACCAGAGTTCTGAACTGGCCCCAAAGAGGCTGCCGACACCACTGAGCATGGAAGAGAAATAAATTTCCATAATGGGGGGGGGGGACTATATTTAAATTATCTGTGCAAGTACTAAAGGTCTGAAAGTAAGGAAGACTTGAAATGCCTTTGTTGGTGGTAGTCTGTGAAACTAAATAGAGGCTTGGGTCTACCGCAACTAAGTTGTGCACAACTTTAAATCATATAAACAGCTTATAGAGCATTATTAGTCTACCACCGTCTACACGTTTTTTCTGTGTTGTAAACATGGTAAAGATAGCCAATTTAGATGTTGCATGTTGCAACATATTGGAGACACTAATAGTGTTATGATGTCTGTGTACGATGTAACATGGACTGTCGTGGCGCAATTGGCAACGTGCCACTAGCATATATAGCGAGGTCTAAGGACATGTACGAACGGAGGAAATTCGGGTTGAAATCCACACATTGTTCAAACATATTTTGATAAGAGATATTTAGAGTTGTACAATAATTATTAAAGAAATGAAACTCGCCCTAATGGTTTCATCGTCGGGCATTCTATGTGTGTGGTGCCCAGACTGAGGAACAGTCAATTATCCATTGGCCATTCAACTTCAAGAACACATAAAATACTGATTACTGTACATTGTACCTACCGGGTCTTAAAATGTCTGCATCTTTTGTCAAAATACAAATTCCATTCCAAGCTAATAATGACAACAGTTCCCTTCTTCGTGACACTCTCTTTCCTTCTGTCCAACAATACAACATGGCAGCCGAATTGTTGAATTTTGGCGGGCTGTAGTTTAAATTAATTGTTCATCGAGCCCGACATCGAGCCCGACGTAATTGTACTATGAGCCGACAGTTTAAGAAAAATTCTAAGTTATTTTCCACAGCTTTCCAGAGCAGAAAATGTCTAAGTTTCTCATTTTATCAGCTTTTCCATAGAATTCCACAACTTTCCAAACCTCAAAATGTCTAAGTCCAAATTTGTTATTCAAATTCCAAAAGATTCCAAAAACTTCCAAAAACACTTTTAGACTCTTGTATGGAAATGTTTGGAATTCCATGGAATTCCAAAACTTTTCCTAACCCTTTGGAAAATCTACATTAGGGAAGAATCCCAAAATAATGAACTTAAAAGACATACAACCAAAAAAAAAAAAAAAACGAAACAAACAAACAACAACAACAAAAAAAAAAAACAACAAAGAACAAACAAACAGAAGGAAAGAAACAAAAAAATCACAACAAATGAAAGAAAAATGAAACAGAGCAAATGAAAGAAACTAGACATAAAGAAAATTCCACAAATTAACTCTGTGTTAAACCCAAAAAGAAAAAACAACATAAAAGGGATGCATGATGATTGTTAGAACCAGAAAAGTTATTGTGTGGCCAAAATATTGATTGAAACAAACCTTATGATATAATGAGATAAAGTGGATTAATTTAAAAGTCAACTGTGGGCTGTATAAGTGTACATTGGTGGATTCATTAATTGCATCATTAAAAATCATCAGTTTGAATCTATGTCTTAATATAGGCAATGGGGTATGCATTGAAATGATGAAAAGTTGAATATACAGTGATTTATTTGTTAGAAGTTTAAAGAATGAATTTGATATCAAAGCAGAGGATACCACATACTTTGTGAATTAAAAAAAAAAAAAAGATTCATCAAAATTTTGTGGAATATTTTAAAAGCAATTTATCTTTTATACTGACTGAAGATGATTAAATGCCCAATAATATATATGAATCCTTTGTCAGTGCAGATGCACTTAAAAGAGTCTTGTAATTTTTTACCATTCCTAATTCATATCAATTGATGCATAAATGTCAGGATTCTCAAAAAAATCTCATTCTCATCTGAATCAGTTTTTTTTCCTCAAAATACAAGTATCAATCACAGTAACCTGAAAACATCCTAGTGGAGAGAAATTAAATGTAAATACAATGTACTAGTGTCACATTTTTGTTATTTTGTGTTTCCACGCAATAAATTGTTCCAATCAAGTCATTCTTGCTTCTTTTTACTATAAAGTAAAACATGCTGCAAATGAAGTGTGACGGTTTTGCTTATCTCTATCCAACCTGGGACAAACTCTTAGACTAAACAACATGATCAAGTTTTAGTTTCATGAGAAATATATATATATACCGGTATATATATATATATATATATATATATATATATATATATATATATATATATATATATATATATATATATATGCTGTACGTGTGCATAAATTTATGTATCATTTCATAATTTAGCGCAATCACTGGGTATTGAGTGGTTGGCATAATCATGAATTAACACTACCCATGTCCGCATTGTTTTTATTTTAAAATGATAAATCATAAAATAACAGTATTCATGAATAGTTAAGGGCATTGTTGTCTGCGCCAAAGCCTAAAAAATATTAAGCCCGCTTTTTAAAGTACACATATTGTATGTGATCAACATGATCAACTTTAAATTTTGGTCAGAACTCTATATTCACCATTACATTGCATGAGGATTGTCCTTAAGATGCTCAGGAGAATTTTGGAAGATATAATGAACTTTAGATTTATTTGTTCAACTTAATTTGCACCACTTCAGAATTAAAAAAAAACAGAACACTTATGGTCATCAAGCAAACAGAGTCCTTGCTAAATTTATGCACATGTTCACTAAAAATTGCATGAATTTTGTCCAACCCCTAATATAAGATCCCAGAGGGGTTGTGACCATGAAATTCACTGTTCTTGTTTCAGCATGCTTATAATTACTGACAGCTACCAACACATCCAAATTTATAGAAATTCATACAGCCATTTCAGAAAATTAAAGTTTTAATAGCACAGCCATCTGTAACTAACAATAATGAAGTTTATTCTATATAATTGTGGTAAATAAAATACATGCACCAACTAAACATAACAAAATGAAGGACATTGCATAATATATGCAATAAATTGGTCAACAAAATATATTCCAATATTATAACAGAATATATATATATATATATATATATATATATATATATATATATATATATATATATATATATATATATATATATATATATAAACAAAAGTAACTTAAAAGACGGACACTGCATAACATATGCAATAAATGAGTCAACAAAAAAAAAACAAGGTATTAAAGCTACAAAAGTACGACATAAGTAAATCTCAATGGTCATCTGAGTATCATGAGTTTTCTTGGGTTATGTGAATGTTGCCTCACATGAGGGGAATTTTTTAGAGGGATGATGATTTTTACAGATGTTTTGAATTCTATTTTACATTTTGGTAGAGGACTAATAACTTATACCTCTGCTTGAAAAGCGGGGGGTGTATAGTGATGGGGGTATCCATCCGTCTGCATGTCCATCCGTTATGCTTTAGGGTACCCATCTCTTATCCCCAACTCCTCTTATACCACTGAATAAAATTTAATGATACTTTCACAGAATCTTAATTACATAGTGCCTTTGTGCACCTTCTATTTTACATTTTGATTGGACACATATTTCAGGTTTTCAATAGTAAAACATAAACATTGTCATTCTTTCTATAATATTGAGGGGTACCCATCTCTTATCCGCAATTTCTCCTATACCACTGAATGAAATTTAATGATACTTTTACAGACTCTTTATTACATAGTGCCATTGTGCACCTCCTATTTTATTTTTTGATTGAACACTTATTTCAGGTCTACTGTATCAAAACATAGACTTTGCCATTATAATCATATGGGAGGCGGGGGTTCCATTTTTTGAGCTCAGTGTTCACTGTACCTATAGTTTTCATCCCGCAAACAGTTTGCTTGCTAAATGTCCAGGAATAAGAAAGATTTTTATTTATGCACTGAATAACTGAATCATCAATATAAGACTTAGCCCGGCACCAAGGGCTGAAAACAGAAAACATGAATTTCACAATTACAGCTGTATGGTAGCTCATCATAACTGTCCTTTTAAATCTTGTAAGCAATTTTTCTGAAAAATTCCCACGAGAAAAAGATTTTCAGAGATGTAATGACCAACTAAGTTCCACCCTTGGTCCCATGGGACATAAATTTTACAATTTTGGCCAAGAACTAACTTCACATTATGCTTTATTACCTGTAAGATGTCCATGAGTAAAAACTTTCAAAAGTGTTCTTACAATCTTTGAGCAACAAAATCCCACTCTGGGGCCTCATCCCTGGACCTGGGGACTTGAATTCAAATTTTGAAATAGTATTAGCTGTTCAATCTAATTAATGTTTAAAGTTTGCCAGATAGATGACCAAGAAGAAAGAAAAAATTCAAAGACAAATATTCAGCATAGGACAGACTTAATCCTATCCTGGACCTGCACCCTTGGAAAATGAATTACAACTTTGGTAAAAGACTAATTGGTGTGCTTATTATACTCATAAAAACAGTTTGCCTGTAGATGTTTAGTGGTACAGTAGAATATTCTAAGATTGCTTTAATTTTGATTGTTTAGCTCCAACTCGTCAGTTCCATGGGGATAGAACCATGAAACTCACAACTTTTGTTTCCCTTTTGCATTCACATATGTAGCATTCATACATGTATAAGCCTTCATTGAAGCACGATTGACAAGATGGATAGCATAAGGTCAAATGAGCAAGTCATGTGACATAAAATTAAAGATGTAGATATGTTTGAAGGAAAAATGTTCCCAATAGTCTGATATTGTCCCTTCCAGAGGTGACTGAAGGATGGATAGATCTACCTGAATTAATTGGCTGGAGGAAAGTATAATAAACAATAAAATATTTAAGATTTTCAATTAAACAATACCTCACGTACATAAATTATTAATTAGACTAACTTCATCATAAATATATATACATGTATTGACTGGACAAATAGTAATAAGTGGACTGGTCTACATTTATCACAAAGCAATATCATGCTCCTTTTTATAATAATGAAATCTAAAAAATTAGTGAAGCACACTAGCAGAATGTTGTTCTTCTCTATCATATACAGAAGTGCTAAACACAAGTTTGTGACAAGGCTTGATGAAGTAGACATTCTTTGTTGATTATTAATCAAAGTTTTTTTTTAAAGTAAAATATCAAAGGTAAGTATCACAGAGTAGCTCCAGTTCTCCTCAGAATATGACATCATCAACTCTGTTTACCAAAACTCATCCCAAACATGTCATTCTGTAGAGAGGTGATAAAATCTCTGAAAATGAAACAAGTATAAAGTTAGACAGCTACTAGTTTTACGTTCCATGGTTGTATGTCTACATAATCATTTCTTATCATCAGCATGCAAACATGTCCTTGAGAAGTTAAAAATAAAGAAGAATGCATTAGTTTCAAAAGTTTTAGCCCCAAACTCAGACCCCAGGGATAAGGACTATGAAAGTCACATATTCTTTATCTTCACTGATACATGTACATGTATACATTATTTATGGTACCAAAATAATAATTAAAATTGTTTCCAGGATTTCTTAGGTGAAAATGATAAGTTTACAAGTTTACAATGAATGACAGACAAGAATGTGTATTACTAATAGGTTATCAGAGTAATTCAGATTCTTTTTCAAAAAAAAAAAAAAAGCTGCTTATTTTTTTTTCATTCACAGTGTACAGACTAATGGGAAGTATTCATTTTTATTGATTAATATTCAATTTACAGATTGTGACCTTCTGCCATTCTGAAAAGTTCCTAAAATTTACATACCACATAGTATAATACTGCCCAGTACAATGTTGCTGTTGGTTTACACACATATTATACTATACACATACATTACACTATATACATACCCCAATTCTTCATTTTCTTTTCCATTTCTTTTCCTATCATCAACTGGCTTTAGTGATCTTGGATAACTCTCTAAAAGAATGATTTTAATTGGACTAAGTACATTGAATTCTTAATTGACAATTTTAGAAATTTAATATGAATCTTTACTTAATATCAGTTACATTGTAATCTAATGCACACTGCATATCTGAGAATCCTCTAACTGTTTGGTTATTTGCTTTAGAATATAATTCCACTAATGTAATTATTATTTATTTATATGTAAATACTTAAGGAATGTTTTTTTTTTTTTTGGACAGATGTGTAATTTATAAAGAGTTGTCACTTAATCATATTTCTTGAAGTGTGCTCCATGAAAAATAGTCTGTGTGATACACATGCCATTAACATTCACAAACTAAAAAAACACTCCTTATATTAACTTTCTAAATGTTAAAAACTAACAAAATACACTCAGAATTTTAACATATTACTGCCTTATATCATTATATTTTCATCATATTAGCTTGAATTTCTCTATGTGTATTTCTATGCCCAATTGAACACAAAATAGTTTAGTAAAAAAAAAGCACAGTACATGTAAATACAGTTGAACTTCAGTCTCAAATACTGATATCTCGAATACCATGGATATGTCGAAGTGATTTGGAAGTCCCAACCCCTTATTCTTGAAGTATTTTACCCTGATATCTTGAACCTTTGGATATCTCAAAGTTTTTTCTCGGTCCCATTGAGTTCGAGATAATGAAGTTTGACTGTATTACAGTATGTCCCTTATCTATGTTAGTTTTCTGTTATCTCTGATACAATCATAATGATTCTTTCTCTAAAAAAATTCTTTGAAAAAAGTCAAATACCTCCAAAAATACTTTGTTTTAAGTACGTGTTGGCTTTCTCTGACTTCCTGAGTTCTTCATGGGATTCATTCAACATCTGCGAGATTCTCTCCAGTTGCCGATCGTAATGGTTGGCACCAGACTGACTGAGGGTGGAGCTGCTTACCGGGCAGTTAGGGTCACCGGAAAACGAACCTTTGGTCACTCTCCTTAACTCCTCGAGGCTTATCTACAAATTAATACCAATTAGAAATATGTCACTGATCATTAATGCCCTGTCCAAGGTATATTTGTATTGCAATGAATTTCATCTAAAACTAGGTGTCTGTAAAAGCTGTCTCTCCCCTTGGTTTCTAACAACTTTCAACCTTTGGCTGCAGGCATACATGTAGAAAAATTCCTTTCACTTGCTAGGAATAAAGTAAACTGACAAAAAAATTAATTTAGTTGTAATGACTGTATTTTATAGGGTCAGATGCAGACAGGGCTTGTTTCATTTATGTCAGGTCATCTTTTCTGTATTACCATCAATACACTTGTTTAAAGTTTAGATTTAATCAACAACAAAAAAAAGAAGTCACAATGGCTGTGGTCAGTCAAGAATCCTGTTTTCTCACAATGACCGAGATGGAAATGTGAACCCATGTAACATAAATTTTACATTTTTGGTAGAGAACCCCATGTTACATATCACTCTGTCTGAAGTCTTAATGCCAGATGCTTACTGGACAAGTGAAGATAGTAGATACATATACATGTATTGTGCACTTTCAAAATATGATCAACTTAGCCTTATCCTGAGGTCTTAACCTTGTAACTATTTTAGAACTATGCTTAAGAGTTTACAGTGCATTGACTTCATGCAATGAATTCAGTCTGCTGAAATATCTACAAGTAAAGATTTTCAAAGACTTAGCTACACTTTGGGGCCTGAACCTTGGATTCCAGAGTTATAAATTTCACAATTCTTGTATAGGGCTCATTTATATTAATGCAAATGATTTGCCTGTGTCATATTTACTCTATATTTGTTTTTTTTATCCTAATTTGCATAATACTCAGTTATCCTGTAGGTGAACTCTTTAATTTTATCCTTTTTGGAGCCCCATTTCTTCATAGGTATTTACTGGACACAGTTGGGTAATTTTCTATCTTTCATGCCATGTTCGCTACAACATGCATGGGTCTTTGATAATTAATGTGAAAGTGAGCTAATGCACTGACCTCTCTCTTCAGACTGGGTCTCTTCTCCAATTCATCAAATGATGTGTTTTTCATGTATTCCACAGCTGCCTTAAAAGTCACTAAACAGTAGCTGAAAATTAAATTACCAAATACTTGAAAAATTGGTCAATTGAAGAAAAAAACCCCCACTATTTTATCAGACAAACAAAAGGCCTATGGGCCACATAGCTCACCTGAACACTCTGGCTAGAAAAAAAGCAGAAATCAATTTGTTATTGAAAAGTATAGAGTATACATATAACTGGTCCCCCCCCCCCCTTCCCCGAAGCGGAGCAGGGTAGAGAGCTTGATTTGATCAAACTTGAATCTACACTACCTGACAATGCTTCCATATAAATATGAATAATCATGACTTCGTTGTTCTTAAGAAGATTTTAAAAGATTTTTCCTATGTATTTCCATGTAAAACTTTGATCGCCCATCGTGCCCCCTCCCCCACCCACCCTCTGGTTCATGATTTGAACAAAATGGAACCTACACTATGTAATGAATCTGTCACATAAGTTTCATCTTTTCTGGCCCAGTGGTTATCAAGAAGAAAATTTTGAAAAGATAACATTAAATTTTCACTTATTCTTAATTATCTTCACTTGAAAGAGGCTGTGGTCTTTCATTTGAACAAATCTAAATTCCCTTCACACAAGGATGCTTTGTGACAAGTTTGGTTGAAATTGGCCAAGTGGTTCTTGAGAAGTCAAAAAAGTGAAAAGTTTATAGATGACACACAACAGACAAAAGCCAGACACCCTTCAATCAGAAAAGCTCATTCAAGCCTTCAACTCAGGTGAGCTAACAATTCAAGAGGCTTCTTGCTTTTTGTTAGTTGTGTGGACACACTAAAGGTGACATTAATCTCACCACCTACCTAAGGTTGCCTCGATCATTGGTTTCTGAAGCCCAGTGGAATGACTCTATATAGTTTATATTACTGGCAAAATGTCGACACTGAGCTTGAGCTATCACGGTTACCTACAATTATAAGGTACAATTAATTTTTAATAGTTATAAGATACTTTAATTAAGACTACTTTTGTTCTATCAAGTTCAATGTCTTGCTTGTTGCTAAAATTCTGCATTGCTGAATGAAATGTTCTTTCACTTTTATGATTAATAGGTCCTGATCCAATATTTTTCTCATATCAAATAACACATACTGATAAAGAGAAACGATATAAAACAATGAGACACTTACTAATATGGGGATGAGATCATCTGATGTCAGACAGTAGCCTAGAAATAGGAAATTCAGTAACATAATTATATGTCAGATAAAACAATACCTTATTTCTTATAAATGTACATCTGTTTGCCAATTTTCCTGTTACATTTCCTTATTTTCCTGCATGATCTATAATTATTGATATTTAAAGGCCTTATTTTTTCCTTCAAAAAGTGAATAAAACCTGTGAATATTTATCTTTAACAAACTTCAAAACACTGTGGGTAAAAAAAGAGGTTCATGAAAAAAAAAATTAAATCCATCCATATTTCCAATTCATACTCCCAACAACATGGTGTCCTGAAAACATCTCTGAGCAAGTCCTATGTATGAAATTATCCACAAAATGAGAAGCCTTGTGCTATTTACTTACATAATCCATGTGCTAAATCTATTTTCTTAGAGAATCCATGTGCTAAATCTATTTTGAATTCTTAGAAAATCCATGTGCTAAATCTATTTTCTTAGAAGAGAATCCATGTGCTAGATCTATTTTCTTACGGAATCCATGTGCTAGATCTATTTTCTTAGGGAATCCATGTGCTAGATCTATTTTCTTAAGGAATCCATGTGCTAGATCTATTTTCTTGGGGAATCCATGTGCTAGATCTATTTACATATAGAACCCTATGTACAGTATTACAGTAATTTACTGTATAACCTAATAGCAGTTAGCACAAGAACAGATAGTAGGAGAATTGTATCTTTTATACATAACGATGGTAAGATATGATCACTTGGTTTCAAATTAATTCTAACTTTATTAAGGAAGACATTGACTAATTCCTTACTCCAAGTATTTTTTTCCAAACTCTTCCTTTATTTACTCATTGTGAAAAAACAAAAACAAAAGAAAGTCCTTCAATAGTACTTCAGTAAAGATCTTACTATCTTCAACAGCAGTAGACACTGGAGGTACCCGGTTTTCTTCTAAATAACTCTGTATGGTTTGGCTGGCACTGTCCTATATGTAGAATATTATCAGTTTAATAAGTTATAACTTATGGACTACATCTACATGTACATGCATAAACATTCAGGATCACTTAATTATATAAAGTCAAATGTTTGAAAAACTTAAAATTTTACTTATGGCAATTCTAATCACCTTACTGTGCAATGTTGTTACAATTAAATGGGACACCAAGTCTATGATCATAACTTACCACTGTAGATTTCAAGCAGAATAATTTCTCTAGAGGAGTCCTTAGGCCATCCAGATTTGCCAATTCTACAACCTTTGGTAAAAACACAAGAGAATATATTTACACACATTATATTAAGTGTAGTAGGAAAGGAGAAATGCATGAAGAAAATATATGGCTGGACCGGAAATCGAACCGGGGACCCCTGCATTACTAGTCAGGTGCTCTAACCACTGAGCTATCCAGGCCAATGTCCATGGTCCGTAAAGCCCAAACTTCTACATTTCTCTCACCTTAAACAGTCTTTGACCTCGAAGACACAAGTTCTAGGGCCCTGCCAGGAATTACTAACTTACACATAACGTAACCTGAACATCCCCCCCCCCAACACACACACACTGGCCACCAAATGTAGTAGGAAAGGAGAAATGCATGAAGAAAATATACAGCTGGACCAGGAATCGAACCTGACCCCTGCATTACTAGTCAGGTGCTCTAACCACTGAGCTATCCAGGCCGATATCCACAGTCCATAAAGCCCTGTGACTTACATGTGCAAAATATCTGCTTTCAGATACAGCTTAAACACAAATATAGTAATGTACATGAAGTTACATGTAAAACAATGAGAATTATCTTTCTTGTCTGTATTAGAGTACAAGAATTTACAGTCCTAAAGATCTTGAATTTCTGCATTAGGAAAACTGAAATATTTACTGGAGCTTCATCATGCTGCAAAAGATTCTTTGATATATTTACATGTTAATCAGTTTTAATAAGACATCTTTTGTCCATATTTAACTGAAATACTTACAGCTTGTGGAAGTGGACAAGCAATTTTCTTATTGACCCCTAGCTGTTCAGCAGTGACATTGCGCAACTGTTTACATTTTGCAAAGAGTAACCTATCGTCCTCTTCATGTATTTCTTTGATGATAGTAAACACCTTCTTGTGGACTGCTCCCATTACATAACTACAAAATACAAAAAATAAAATGTACCATAGATCACTTATTCACTGAATCACCAATTAACTAAGTAGAGAAAGGGAATAAGTGCATACCTTTCAACACAAAAATCTACTGTTTCTCTGAATTTTGGATCCTGTCCGTTTTCAAACTTCGAACACTTTAGACAATCCTGGAAAAAAAAAACCACCATTGCTTTTAATCATATACATGTACTAGCAGATTAATTTCTTTCATAAAGTATCAAATCTGTCTCCTCTCAAAGAATGTACACATACATAATCATATTTGGTATGATATATGGTTTTCCTTTTCCAAGACATAATTAATATAAACGACTCGAATTTGTCAGATGATTAAACCAGACATTTAAATACAGTACACATGTATCATTGTTACCTTGGTTACTTGCTGACACACGGACTTAAGCTTGTTTTGTGCCTCTGACAGGTAGTCTTTAAGGATCATGTAGTTAGCATTAAACTGCTTCAAACTCTCATCCAACTGACGTAAAACCTGTATAAATCATTTTTGTTGAATTTTTTTTTTTATTTGTGAATCAAATAGAAAAATCAATCTGTTAAATCCTTACAGCTGATTCAAAATCAAAATACATGACTTACGAATTAAAAATAAATGTATATTATATCAGACTTATGTAATTAAAAGAATAAGAATTTTCCTACCATTCTGTACTCAGCAAAAGATATAAGGAAATTACAGGATCTGTTAAAATAAAATGTTATTAAGGAGAATAACTTTCTCAAAATCATTTTAAAGTCAAACTACATGTACCTTTTCTTACAAATGCCTCATAAATTAGAGAACAATGTGACCTGTACAAGTATCATGTTCACCATTAAGACTCAGCTGTAGAGTCATACAATCAAATTCTATTTGAAATAAATTTTCTCCTACTTCCAAAACTACTGAGGCATTTTAATTAGCAGTGTCAATGTTTGTGAGCAATCATAATTTCATGGGTAACTCTTACAAAAATATACAATAAACTGACACACTGACGAAGTTACAGTTCAAATGAATGTAAATTTGAGATTAAAGGCGACCCACAAAATCCAAAAACATTGGTACCCCCAGAACAATGATGATTCCAGAGTATGAGACACCCTTTTTTGTATGTACACTTACATATAAAATAAATGATAATTAAAATAAGGGACACCAAAACCTTCACTCACTCTGGGTATGTGGTGTATTCAGGAATGTTATCCGCTGCTGCTGTGGGTTGCTTATTCTCTGTTTTATGAGCCTTGAACATAACAATAAATGTTTTAATTTTTTGTCAAAATCTAATACTTATAATCATAAAATTATTCACATTATTCATTAGTAAAATATTTTTCCTTGATAGAGTACAAGCAACATCAGCAACATTTACACACAATCACAACAATTTTTTGTTTTTTTTCTTAATAATTCACTGCTTTGTCCTTTATTGAAATGTTTTGAGATTCAGATTTAAAGTCACTGTACCTTTAAAGATGGATCCAATGGACATTCTAAAATCAGTATTTTGTATGCTTTATAATCCTACAAAAAATAGCATACATTTGTTAGGCATGTATAAATATGTAAATAAATGTGACCATATATTCAAATTATATCCAAAAATTGACAGAAGAAGAAACAGTCCCTGAAATTTCTACATCTCCTCTGAGTTTGCTCAGCATAGACACAACATGCATTCAACATTTGCTATCCATTCCTTCATGCACTGGCCATTTTCACTGCATTCCATTTTTTTTTTTTTTACTCTCTGCATCCACTCACCATAGATCCTCTATTCACTCTTTGTTCATCCATCATTCATTCAACATTCATGAAGAGTTTCAGAATGTTTTATTTGTACATACATACCTTGTTATATCCCAGTTCTTCATTTAAAATCTTCACACAGTGGTCATCACTGAATCCTACCAACACATGAAAAAAGAATTATAATACAATTCTATATTTTATAAATATATTGTTTTTTTTTAAATAAAACTTAGTAATTTATATTTCTGAAAATTTTGATGACAGATCAGAATTTCTTTTCTTAATTCAAATTTCAGAATTGGAAATTAAGAAATTCTGCTGAAAACCTTCAACAGTGCGAAACTCCTTCCCATTTTCTTCTAACTGGACAACTTTTTCTGGAGAATCCAGAGTCTGGTACTGGCTGCATGGTTAAGTTAAATATACAAGACATGGAAAATTATATATATAGAAGTTACTGTCTATTATGACAATAGCAAGTTTATTTTTCAACGGATAGCAACAACTTCCCTGTCTGTGCCTCAAGAAATTATTCATGTTTTCGTGGAAAATAAACTTACTATAATATTGTCAGAATAGACAATAAAGATATGATTTATTATACCTTAAGATGGATTTGGATTGAAAGTATATATTAACTGGATTAGACAGAAATGACAGCTTGGCATTTTATTCTGTTCTTTATTGTAATCATGGTAATACCCCTGTGCAGCCAAATACTTCATGTGACCTCTCTACCCACCCCATGAAGAGTACTCTTACTTGTAGCATCTCCAAGACCCAGCATGTTGTCTAAGACTTACACATATTTTCTTCAAATTAAAATCCCTCATAAATGTGTATTTTTACATGTGTGTATGCTTACCTTTTGAAGTATGGTGAAGGCTTTAGTATGTGGGTTGCTGAAATAAAAAATATCTTAAAAATCACAATTTTTTGCTGGTATGGTGATGCCTGATTTTTTTGGTTGTATGTTCGTTCGCCCTAAAACTTGTTCGCCCTTGACGCCGTTCGCCCTAATTCTCGTTCGCCCAGAGTCCGTCCGCCCTAAAACTTGTTCGCCCGGGGTCTGTTCGCCCTATTTATATTGCAGGAAGTTGAATAATGAACAAATGAATTTTTTTCAATACTTGTTATATGTGCACTGGAATAAAAATTGCACATTGGAAACAGACATATGCATGGTCACACTAAATACCTGTAACCTATTTGAATATTGCCAATTTCTGAAAAAAAAAGTTTGTTTGTATTATTTATCCTTGACTTCATGTATTATCCCCTAAATTGCAGTGACATTATTAAGTATAATTAAACCAATTAAGTATGTAAAATGCATTAATATCAAATTTGAATGGTTTAATAAAGAACAAATTAACTATGTCAACATTGGGGGAAAAGAGAAAAAAAACACGAAGTCGTAAAATATTGAATAAAATAAATAAAATAAAATAAATCATGAATGATGATCAATAATAATATTTACTATATACTGTATATATATACATATATTAGGGCGATCGAGATATAGGGCGAACAAGAAATAGGGCGAACGGACCCTGCGCGAACGGACTCATGCGAACAGGTAGATAGGGTGAACGGACCCGATACCGATTTTTTTTATAATGCAGTGTAATAATAAACTGTAGAACGGCCGGGGGAAGGGGTGTAGTTTAAACAAAATTGCACAATAATTTTTTGTTATTGTATTTTTTTTTGTTTTATTTATTTATTTTTTTTCCATTTTATCAATTACAGATATGGGATATTATACATCATTAAACTTACCAGTAAGTTTCCTTGTAACTGTAACATTTGCCAAAGAGGAGGCCTGGGGTATGCACACAATATAACAATTATCCTGAGCTCTATCATATAAATCTTGGTACTTTTTCTGCAAAAGATAATAGATAAATGCAAGAACTTTATTTTAAATTTAATTTTAATCTCAAAACTGTCATTTATAAGATAAATTTAAATCTTCTTAAAAACTCTTTAAAACAGTTAAAGTATAAGAATTAAGAGTGTCAATTAAAACATTCAACATTTTAAAAGACCATAACTGAATGTCTGGAGTTATTCTCTTCAAAGAAATAGTCAGGCTTTAGCCTTCAACTTTAGCTGTTCAATGAAGAGAATAGTCCATGGTCATGTCATGAAGGCCAAGGAGGGAGGGTGTTTATCTATTGAAAATTCACGGTTTTCACAAAAACCATTAAAAAAATTATAAATCAACTCGTAAAATCAGCTATGAGCAAGAAATATTCAGGAAATACATACCTGTAAAGCCCTAAAAAGAGGGTTTATGTCTAGTTCATCAACGTCTGTCATCTTTTTTTCATGTGACGTTCATTTTCCGAATGTTAGTATTGCCTTCGGATGTTCTCGAACGTTTTGATCGTTACCTTTATACAAAACCCCGAGGCGTATCGAAAAAGTACTCGTCATCCGGGCTTTTTCAAAATGGTAGTGTTTATGATGTGAAGAATCAGTAGCGATCAAAAGCGGTGCTTTTTCTGGTATGTTTCAACATTATCGCCTTTATTTTGCCTCCAAAGCCAATTTTAAAGTGGTTTTGAAAAGAGTATTATTTTACTCTTGAGTATCATTGTCGTGAAATATTGCATTTGAATATCACCAGAGCTCGATTTCTCTTTCAGAATGGTGTGTTTTGAGCAGGTCCAGTACTATGCTACGTAGTTTGAATTACCTAAGTAGTTTTATTTAGCTATTCTAATGCAAGTATTTAAAATTCGCATTTTAGAAAAATATTTTCGAGTATGTGACTGCTAATATTTTACGGCGACGGTCTTTGACTTTTCGTTTAAAAAAGAACCCAGAGCAAAGATAGTTTAAACACTCTTTGAGCACTTTTAAGAAAAACGCATTTCCATTGCTTGACTAAGTTTAGTAACTGTATACACCTTGTGTGCGATGAGACATGGATAAGTATGATTACTTTACTTTGTGCTGAATATAAATTACCAGTGTAACAGGAAAGGAGAAAATGTATGGCTGGACCGGGAATCGAACTCGGGACCCCAGCATCACTAGTCAGGTGCTCTACTGACTGAGCTACCCAGGCCGATATCCACAGCCCAAACCATTACATTCGTCCCTCCTTAAATTGTTTTCGCCCTCGAAGACACAACCCAAGTTCTTATTAGCCCCTGGCAGGACTTTCACCTGCAAGTCCAGGGGTGGTCAACGCCACCAAATCTGTAACAGGAAAGGAGAAAATGTATGGCTGGACCGGGAATCGAACCTGGGACCCTTGCATCACTAGTCAGGTGCTCTACCGACTGAGCTACCCAGGTTGATATCATGACCCAAACCATTACACCAGTCTATTATCATGTTAAATGTAAGAGGTATTTATTTCATTCAAGAAAGTATGATTTTAATTTAGTACCTTAACAAAACTTCTACAAGTAGCTAAACAAAGCTATTCTAGCTACAAAGTTAAATGTAGTGATTTTACTGGACCTGCTAAGTATATTGTGTTTTCTTTTGTCTCTATATGAATACAATATTTTGTTTAAATGCTCACATCAGCAGTTTTTAAAAAATAATATACTATTATGTACATGAATTATTACAAAATGATAAGTTTTCAGTTTTATTTTCTTAATCATATTTGAATATACAAGAACACACAATACACTGAATACTAGCGATGCACGATTTTATCGGTATATACCAGTATATCGTGATTTTTAATTGTTTGATTCGTATCATGATACGGGGACTAAAAACCTGTTATTTAGGAACTGAATATATTATGTAAATAAAAATGAAAAAAGTGGTTACTTTTTCTGAGCATATTTATCAGTGATCAGGATAAGAAAAAGGCTAAATCAGTAAATGCGACAATGGCACGTTCCAAATCAGTGTCAATGTGACATTTTTAAAATCAATGCACCATAGGGATTTTTTTAGGGGACATGTATTGAAAATGGCAGGTTAAGATTTGACTTGATATTAAGAAATTCACTGCAAAATTAAGAAAAATCTGGCCTTTCTCACTAATTCTCAGAAAAGGATTTTTTCAGCGGCATATCTTCAACTTCGTGCGCATTAATGTCAACTTACGGTATTAACTGATCAGAAAACATTTAAATGTTTGATAAGATACTGAGGAAATCTAAGTCATTGTAATGCTTTGCTGGATACCATATATATTCTTTAGCTTAAATATGACACCAATTGTTAAAGCATTGTAGCGAAATAGATTACAAGCTGGTGGGGAAAAGCTCAAAGTTTAAAAGTATATGTGATGATGATATGTGTCATAAGGGCTTATCCCAAACAAAGATTTATAAGAAAAATTATGGATATGGATTTAAAATTATAGTGAAAATTGCATGTAAAAATATCATGATATTATAGTGATATTTTCTAGGGAAATTGTGATATATCGTGATACGAAAAAAAAAACCAAACCCCAGCATTGGAATTTGGATGAAAAAAAGGGAAAAAAGAAAACATGGAAAATTATAAACTTGTATTATAATTTTTGTATGTTATGTGATAAAATGATGTAAGAAAAAAAAATCATAATGCTGATATTTTTTAGAAATAATTTTTATACACTGATTTCTATTATCACAAAATATTTGATGCAATTTTCTACAATGCAATAATTGTTTTCTTGTAGAATTTCAGGATGTCATCCAAACGCCCTGCTGAGGATCAGGGTGGGGGATCTAGTTCTGGACCCCCAGCAAAGAAGCTGTTAACAAGGTTTGAACCAGTAAGGATAGGCACCATAGGGAATCTGGTAAGCTAATAATGGTATTCAGTATTCCTGTAATTACCGAAATGTATAGTTAATATATGTTTTACCACAGTCACTCTTTCCTTTGTACTTATGAATTCAGGAAGAACTTGACATGAAGGTTTTGAGGTTTCAAAACAAGAAGTTAGCTGAGAGAATAGAACAGAGAAAGAGGGCTGAAGATGAGTTAAAACGTCGTATCGACCAGCTGGAGAACCGACAGAGGACTGACGATGCTGTTCTTATGATTGTCAATAGATACTGGAACCAGGTCTCATGCTTTCCTCACACAGCATTTCAATATTTATGTACTCTAGTTTTCAGTGTATAAGATGCTAGAACTTTGAGCTCAGTTTTCCATGACTTTTGTACAAGGCAATTAAATACTAACAAAAGATATTATGCTTAAATTCTTCTTAGTTGGTAACTGTAAAGCATTGTCTAGGGAATAAAAATGAACAGCCAGCATGTCAATTATACACGAAAACAAATAAGATTCATAAAAAAAAAACTATTGAAAGTGACCTGACTAAAAGTAAACAGATGTAAATGTATACATATATAATATATAACCAATTGATTTTTGTTTGTTTACAGTTGAACTGTGTTAATGCATAGTAAAAAGAATCAGCTTTTTACAAGTGAACTAAAATGTCTGAACACAGTTGTTTCTTGCAGATCCATGTATCTCATAGAAACACGGGTGAAATATCCTTATTATCTGAATATATAATTAGGCATTTTACTCATGAACATAGTTGTTTCCAAAAATTGCAGCTCAAAGTTCAAAAGTATTGTTATTGGATTGCACTGATATGGATAAAAAGGCATTCTGCATGTGGGTGTATATTTTTTGCATTAATTGATTGAAAAAAGGCATTCTGCTTATGTCTGTATATATGTTGCTTTATTTAAAATAAAAGACAGCTGTACATGTACATATACATGTATATTTTTTGCACAGCTTGATGAAGATATCAGAGTTCTTTTGCAAAGATTTGATGCAGAGACTGCAGATGAAACTGAAACTAAAAGTAAGTCATGTAAATTTCTTTTACTAAATACATGTAACACGAAATGACTTGTTGAAGTCAATTACAAGAGCATGAATATGTAAATGGACTTTTTTAAAGAGTTTATACATGTATTTCAGCAATATAAAAATAAAGTGAGTGGTGCTTCTTTCAAAACTATGCCATTACAAATTCTTCATGTATATAAAGAATCTACAGTAATCACTAACCAGGAAATATTATGCCATAGAAAGCTGTTGGATGATTTGATTGATTTCATGAACATTTTTCAAATCTAGTAATGTTTTCAATTTAGTGAAAATAGAGGGAAGGTCTTATTACAGTGAGTTTTGTACTCTTATGTCCATCTTGATTTTTTTAGATGAGAGTGATGAAACAAAAGCATTCTTGACCTTGTTGTCGACATGGGATAAACAAGAACTGGAACAAAAACTAGGTCAGCGTGTGGAATTCTCCAAACGTGCCATAGGAAAGCTGCTGCAGGCTTTTGACAGACTGCTACAGAGAAATGAGAAACTTAACAAAGGCATACAGGAGAAGGTCAACAAAGAGGTCAAGGAACTAGAGCTGTCTGCCAGCGGAATAAAGAAGGAACCAAGTGACATCAAAATGGAGGTAGAGGAGAAGAAGGAACCAGAGGAAGACTTAGGGGAGAAGGCGGTCAAAATGGAGGAAGATGGGGAGACCAAGGCCGAGTCAGAGGAGAAAAAGGAGGGTAAGATAGGACCAAACATGTATACCTAAAAAGGAGGGTAAGATAGGACCAAACATGTATACGTAAAAAGGAGGGTAAGACAGGACTGAACATGTATACCTAAAAGGTGGTAAGATAGGACTGAACATTTATACCTAAAAAGGGGGTTAAGATAGGATTAAACATTTATACCTAGAAAGGAGAGTAAGATAGAACCATACATTTATACCTAAAAAGGAGAGTAAGATAGGACCAAATATGTATACCTAAGAAAAGGGGGTGGGATAAGATAGGACTAGGACTGAACATGTATACCTAAAGAGGAGAGTAAAATAGGAATAAACATGTATACCTTATAAGGGGGGGGGGGGGGTAAGATAGGACAGAAAATGTAAACCTAAATAGGAGGGTAAGATAGGACTGAACATTTATACCTAGAGAGGGGGGATAAGATAGCAGTGAAGTGAAAATATACAGCACTTGTGAAAGGATGTTAAATGGCACTGACTAAAATGTACTTAACAAAAGGTGATAAATTACCACTGACCTAAAACAGATACTGAAAAGGATGGCAAGTTAGAGTATGTTTACATTCTTAATTCCTTCAGCAAATAGTGTTGTTAATCTTTGAAGTGAGTGTATTTGTCAGTCTTGTTTGAAGTGAGTGTATTGGTCAGTCTTGTATGATTACATTTCATTCCAGACATCTCTGTTTATCTGTTATAGAGACTGAAAAGCCAGAAATCAAGAAAGAAGTAGAAACAACAGAAACTGATGTGAAACCCGCAGTGAAGGAAGAGGAGGCCTCAGAAGAGAAGCCAGAAATTCTGTCACTGCAGGAAATTGTCAAGGAAGAGCTGGCAGAACTTCAGAGGGAGAATCGTCGTCTTCACAATAATGCCACTTACTTACACCAGAGACATCACGAGCACACGTTAGAGGTATTATTAAAAAAAATAGAGACAGTGAAACAAAGTTTTACGTGTATAAAACATTTAAAAGGCATCATTTTAGTCCTGGTTTTTTGGATAACAATAATTGTTTGATAGGTTGCAGAGCTGCAGGATAAATTAACAGCTGCAGAAACGGAGATTGCTGAACTTAAGAACAAGATGGATGACCTTCAGTATTATCATGGCTGTGCCAGCCAGCAGGTAGACAAACTTGATCGACATTTGAATGACGCCATGCAGAAGCTGAAAAGTTTTGAGGACACAACCATTGTCCATGATGTGTCAGGCAAAGGTGTAACAGGAGTAGCCAAGAGCAAGGTAAAGGACTTTACTTGTGTATGAGACTGAAAGCTTTCACAGATCACCATGAATATTGCTGCGGCATATAGTGTTTGTCATGTCTGTTGTCCATCCTTCCATCCTTCTGTCCTTCCCTCTGTACATCTGTCACATTATGCATTTAGCTCAGTTGAAATGAAACTTTTCACTATTTTTTTTATACACTGATATACATGTATATTGATGAGAGCTATTCAACTGTGGCATAATTTTCTGACCTTGACCTTCCCTTTTTTGTGTTTTAAAATAAGTTTTAAAATGACTATTAAACATATTTTTATCAAAACTCATACACTGAAACATATTGGTGAGAGCTATCAAACTTTCATATCACTACAGTAATTTTTCATTTGAAGTTCACCTGCTGGAGTGATGGTATCACTGCTTATCATTTTTTGATAGCTGAATTTATATATATATTAATACCCTCTGATGTTTCTTGTGTACATGTATTTGAAGTTTGATGAGATAAACTATGAGTTGGAAGAGCAGAGAGAACTAGCCACCAACAGAATGACGGAACTGGAGAAACTCAGCAAAGAGCACCAGGAAGCGCTGCAGGAAGTGGAGAAACTCAAAATGGATGTAAGAGCATTATAGACTTGTGTAAATTTTATTTTAAATGTTAAGCAGTTCTGTAAGATCTGGAAGAGATGTACAGTGATAAGCTTTCACAAAATACATGTATAAATTGATGAACATAGCTTTATCAAAATTTGAAGAGTGGTACTCAAAATGATTGTGTGCAGTTAGAAAATAAAAGAGTTAGTGCTTTATAGCCATCAAAAAATACACACATGTCTGCAAGCAGGGAGATCCCAAGGATTATCACTATGACACAATACTAGATTATCCCTTGATTTCAGAATTGAATTGTGTAGCACATTGAAGAAAAAGTTTTGGATACAATTTTTGATACTTGGATCAGAGAAAAAAAAATTATTTTTTTTATCAATAATATTTATTTTTCAATGATGAGATTCAACAAGAAAATGTATGAATGCACAACGGATAGCCCAACTTTAATAATATTTGACCTAAGTATTCATTGGTGGAGTAATACATAATAACATTCAGCAATTGTTGTTTCATTACCAGCTCTTTTTCACAATAATGCAAAAAAGACTTACCAGCTGTATTTATTATTTTTTTGTTAAAACCACTTGGGTATGTTATTTTCTTCAATTTCTCTTCAGGAACCTGCCATTTTAAAGGTTTGCAAATGTAAAGGGAAGCTGACCCAAATAACCCTGACAACTCTTTCTAACTCGCCAAAATTTGGATTTCAGTTCTACGTTTAAAACCTCTTCAAACATTTTCAAATAATTATACATGTATAAACATATCACACCTGTCCATGAATAACATCTGCCTGTAAAATTTCTTTCAGAAAGTACTTTAGAAGGGGGAATATGTAATGTCTGCCATTATGGATATCAAAAAAAGTAGTTACAGCTTATTTGTGCAAATTTTATTGATGCAGATGTCAAGAAAATTTTTCAACCAATCAAAAACACCGATTCCATATCAGTCTAATAAATATTGAATAGGGATGTCAACGAGTACCCGGTTAACTGGGTACTCTATCGAACGTCCGAGTATCGATTACTAAAAATGATACTCGGTTACTAGGATGTGTATTTTTTCTTATTTCAAACTACATATTTTTATCAAAAACTTATAAAAAAAAACAAACTTAAATATTCATACGGGTAAGTAGCGTGTCGTCGTCTACACATGTAATCATCCGTTATAGCCTATAGTTGTGTACAGTAATTAGTGACCAATCACCTGGTACGCAGCTGTTCTCACCTATTGTGGTCCTTAATTTTTTGATGGCTTCAATGATTGTTTTTTTTTCACTGAACAACGTTTAATATGGTCTATTATCTTCAAATCATTTTTAAATTAATACCGCTACCCACTTCAAAATAAGTAAAGATTAAAAAAAATGTTTAAAGTCAGTTTCCATAGTAAGTTTAGTTATACGGGGGAAACAACCAACATATGAAAAAATGTTAGACTAGCGATCCAAACAATGACCGTTCCCTGTCTTTCGCTAATCATCACAAACATGCGTAACTGATTGTCCTCCTTTTGCGTTGATGAAATAGATCTTAAACAAGAACTGTAAACCATTTGTAATTTTTATGTACATATGTATTAATTGTGTCTTATGTATTTATTTAATACCAAAAATCATTTCCGTTGGACTCCATGTTTACATACATTCATAAAACGTGATAAAAACAGCTTTGGGGTTTAACAAATTAACAATTAAATATTAACAAACTTGTTTTACATTTTTACCGAGTACCCGGGTACTCGATCGGAAAAAACTCCGAGTAACCGATTATCAAAATTTGACCGATTTGACATCCCTAATATTGAATGATTAAAAATTCAACATTTTTAGCAAACAACTCATAACAAAAAAAATGACATCGTGTAGAATTTTCAACAACTATTTGTACTATGGTTTGTCTTTTTGTACTGTATAAACATGATAAATGATTGGATGTTTTAGCTTCAGCACTTACCCGAGAGTGTGATTGTGGACACCACAGAGTACAAATGTCTCCAGTCCCAGTTCTCTGTGCTTTATAATGACAGCATGCAGATCCGGACCCAGCTGGAGGACACCCGGAACTTACTCCAGACCAGCAAGAATACCCATCTCAGGCATCTGGAACAGCTGGAGGTACTGGACACTAGTTTTATTATGAGAATTATTTATCAAAATTACAATATCAGCAACATTATATTCGATATGTCTATTAACATGCTGAATATTTTTTTGAGGTAGTAAATCTTTGAAAGAGAAGCAGCAAAATTTTATTAGGGGAGGGTGGTTGAATATTTCAACAGATTCTTCTAATGTCCTATGTTTTATTCATGTATGTCACAGTTTGTTATTCTACAGCTTTTACTTGGTCATTTTTCCTTCAGAATATCTTTTATTTTTGGGATTTAATTGTTTTCTGTTTTTTGTAACAGTATGAAATAAATGTATTCAATTTATGATATGGTTGTTGGGTAACCTTGACTGCATATGAGGTAATTTCAACGGCTGCACCAATTAAGACAAAATTATTTGTGCAAACACTAATATACATGTAAGAAAAATGTTACAAATTCATATATCCATTGATTAACTTTCTTTAAAGATATTGTCAGAGATGTTCATTTCTTGTAATGGCTATTAAATTCTTGTTCATCATTTTCTCGAGTCATGAAGCCTGATCTTAAAGAGTAAAAGTATTACCAACACAATATATTAAAATGCATTTTTACTTCAGCATAAAATAAATTGAAGGACACAGAAATAGATCAAAAATAAAACATTGTAATGAATTCATGATTGGTCAAAATTACCTAGGTGGATAAATGTTTGGTCGATATTACCTAGGTGGATAAATATTTGGTCGATATTACCCAGGTGGTCAAAGTTCCACCACCCTACCTAACACTGCTTGCAATAGAGGATGAAATGCTGAATGATATATTTTTCTGTAGTGTGATGAGCTAGAGACCCAGAAAAAACTCAGAGCTGAGTGCATTCAGTTGGAGGATAATTTGGCACAGGTCAGGAGGGAATATGAAATGTTGAGGATTGAGTTTGAACAAACTTTAGCTCAGAATGAGCAGACAGGTAAGGAATACTAAGACAGAAGTCAAACATACATATACATGTTCTTAGTAGTAACTTAAAGAATCTAAGTGTCAATTACAAGTCAACTTGTTAAGTACACATGGCATGATTTTATTCAACCAGCTCCCATCAATCATGAAATGAGAAACCTGATCCAGAGTTTACAGAAACATAATCAGCAGTTAAAAGCTGAGGCCAGCCGCTCCAGACGCAGAGCCAGGGAAATCCAGACAGAAATGAATAAGGTTGGTTACAATAAAGTGCGTAGAAGAAACAAACATTATAAAGATTTACATGTGTGTGCACTCCCCCATTTGCAGCAATTCAAACAGTACATGTATAGCTCCAATATAGTGAGAACCCATGTAGGACACTAGCATTGCTCATAAGGTTTCAAAGAATGTGGACATTTTTTGTTTAATCAGATGAAAGCTAATGAATAGAGGATGTGTTTAATCTTCTACCAGGGTCATTTGAAGAAGGTCACAGGGTTGAAATGTAAAATTCTTGTCTGTGACTTTTTCATGGGGGGAAATTTGATGTCTGGTCCCTAATTCTGTTATGCAGAGGCAGTAAAAGATTAGACTGAGCACAAAGGTGGCATGTCAAATAAATGTGTCAAGACTTTGATCCACAGTACCATACCATAATTTTTTCATCTACATCTTTGTCATGAAACAAAAGATTTCAGTCTTCTTATGTTATACATGTTACACGTTTCTTATAATCCATATTAAAGTATTGGAAACAAGTATGAGGGGAGGGCTCACTTAGCTGAACAACTTATACTTTGTGAAAAAAAGTGGCCATCATTTAGTGAATCAAGTTGGAAGGGGGTCAAGACCACACCTTTACAAATAAATGCAAAAATTAAGTTATTTGATATTTTAGAAACACTTTGTTGTAATGTTTCTCTTTAAATTTTAGTAACTGTTGGGCGTAATGTATAGATTAATACTTAATTAATATGTGCAGTACTAGATTTTTCACTACTGTAATTATGCTAACCTTTATGAAAACAAAAATCCTGAAAAAGAATGGTTCTGATACAATTTCTTACTTATCTGCTATGCTGTGCATCAGAAGTAAAATTGATGTAGGTGAGCTGATCAAAGTTCTTTGGTGATGTCTCATCAACTGTATTAGAATCGGAAGACTTGAAGAGGGCAAAAAGTAGTTTTTGAACACATTCTCATTCTGATGAATGAGCAATGTCAATCATTTTCTTCCAGAGCATGTTAAGGATATTACTTAGTGGTGGTGTTGTTGTTCTTTGAAATGTAGGAAAATTTTTGCTCAGAAGAAAAATTTAACCACTTGTTTGAAATTGATTGTTAAATTCAACTTGTGTGATAAATGTTTTAATATTTTTTTTATATAATTGTATACCAGATGAAAGCGGAGGGATTTAAACCAGAGGAAAAACAAGAACAAGCAGAAAATCCAGCAGGGGGTAGTGTTCAGGGTGATTCTGGGGGATCAGGAGGGGGAGGGGAACCAGGGACTGCCACGCCCACCCAGTCAGTGCCCTCACCACCACACACAGGCACCAAGACTGAGGGGGAGCCAGGGAAGGAGGAGGATAAGGAAGACTTTGAGTACAGGGAAAAAGGGAAGACTGACCTTGAGGTCATAAAAGAACTAAGGGCTCAGCTTAAGTAAGTCTTGAAAGCCCTTGTGATTGTATACTCTAAAGAAACTTCTTTTGTGACACCTAAATTTCTCCTGCAGTTCTGTGATTTTAACATCCACACTGTGGTTTTCTTTTTCAATGTCTCTGAGTCCTGTTATTTTAGCAATCAATATGCAATCCTTGCAGTAGATATATTTATGTAGGGAACCAGTTAACTAGTTACTTGGAACAGTGGCTTTTGGTCACAAAATCAATAATTGATTAGTTGAAAAAATGAAATATTTGTAAATTTGAATGCAATTTCAATAAAATTTTATTTCAATTCAATTTGAAAAGAAAAAAAAAATATAACAAACTCTTAATTGATAAATGTGAAGTATCTAATTAAGTTCATTTGGAGACAATTGAGGTTCTCTGAATGAAGGTTACTGAGATAAATGGCCAGTTTGTGAAGTGTAAATTATTGTTTAAACAGCATGTCAGCTTCTAGCCTGTCCTTCTTTTCTTTAATAATGAGTAAAAGTAAAAATGACAGTAGAGTACTGCAAACATTGTGGACCTGCTTTCAATGTGTATATACCTTATCTATCATTTGTCAATCAAATATTTAACAGAAGAGTAAATTAATCAATGGTTTTGATGATGGTGACTATGCAGAAAGAACTTATGACATCTGATTTGAGAATTTATATCTCTGATTTATCAGACATGTTTCATGGTTTTAAAATCAAAATAAAACTTAAGCTTATTATTTTTAAATCAATGAAAAGACCAACAATGAAAAAGGGGGGGGGGGGTGTTAAAAATTTAATGATGTGCTTGATCTTACCATGAATGAAGAAAAGGTATTATTACATTTTCAACAGTGAAATACTGTGATTTATTTATTGAATAAAAGTGATATTCTCTCACAGTGTGAAAGGATACCAAAAATGATATTCTCTCACAGTGTGAAAGGATATCAAAGTAAGTAAAAAATAATTTCTGGCCTGTTATAAGATAGAGATAGTAACTAAGCATCTTGATAGAGCTAAAACTGCAAATTTTTTCCTAAATGTTGCTAAAATCCATGATATGTAATGTTTTCAATCTGACACACAACTTCTAAGCTATGACGTCTCAACCGCTCAACTATGACGTCAAGCCTATGACACTGTTTTAAGAAAAGACAGAGGCAAAGGGAAAATCAAAGAAAATATAATAAACAGAAAATTCAATGTTTTGTAGATGAATATGGAATTTATTTCACTCGTGAGACAGGATTTTTCGATATTTTCACTCGTGCTTCGCACTCGTGAAAATATCAAAAAAATCCTGTCCCACTCGTGAAATAAATTCCATATTCATCTACAAAACATTGAATATCCTCTATATATTTTATTCAAATGGATTTCTTTTTATTAGGTATTTTAAAAGGTATGGTGTCAAGAGCTAAATGCATGTTAATGTTGTTTACTTGTTTTTGTTTCTATTCAAGTTTAGAGCTATAAATTTACCAAATTGAATTTAATTAATTTTTAGCCATCATTTATTGAAAACTCAGCAAATAAATGTGAAAAAAACATTGATACTTCTTAAAGAAAGCATTTTGTTTTTAAAAACTGGAGGTGGTGGGATTGATGTACACAGATATGTACATGTACATTAATTATGAGTGAAAACCTTTTCATCATGTAAAGATATTACATATTAATACTCAATGCATATACCCTTATTCACACTTAAATCTGATGTCAAAATTTTATATTGTCTTTAGCTGGACGTCTCATACTAATTAATATCATTAAAAGAACAGTATTTCTTAGCTTTCTAAAATAGTTTAAAACATAAATTTGACAACAGCACATATTTAGCCAATGTGAGAAATATTTACAAGACATGTGTGCACATATTTATGAAGGGGAAAAAACATCAATTCTGTGTAGAGTGAGCAGAATAGAATGTACATTAATGTCCTTTCTGTGCTAAAGATATGTATATCCTTGTAATTTAGGCAAGCCCAGGCCAGTCAGAAGGAACTGAAGCTTCTACTGGACATGTACAAAAGTGCTCCTAAAGAACAACGAGACAAAGTACAGGTATGCTCAAACAACATTGAAGAATACAATCTTAAACAGTGTAGATTAAGAAAAGTAATGGAATGAAGGTGTATTTTAAACGAAGAAAAAATAAAAGCAAATCTGTTTTTGAACCTACATATATGTTCCAGTTTATTGCTTAATGATTCATTTCAGTTGATGGCATGTGAAAAGAAATTCCGTCAAGAAATTGATGATCTCAAAGCTCAGATCAAAAGAATGCAGGAAAATGAAAGAAAGGAAAAGAGAAAGCTGGCAGAGGAGGATGCCATTAAAAAGATCAGTAAAATGGAAGAAAAAATTACAGAGCTGTCCAAGAATTTGGCAACTCAGAAACAGGTATGTAGCAGCCTAAAAACTCAGAAACAGAGAGTTGTTTCAAAAGCTTGTCCTCAGAAACAGAAAGGAGTTGTTCAAAAGCTTGTACTCAGAAACATAGAAAGAGTTGTTCAAAAGCTTGTACTTAGAGAAAGAGTTGTTCAAAAGCTTGTACTCAGAAACAGAGAAAGAGTTGTTCAAAAGCTTGTACTCAGAAACATAGAAAGAGTTGTTCAAAAGCTTGTACTCAGAAACAGAGTGTTCAGAATCATGGAGAAAGTTGTTCAAAAGCTTGTACTGAGAAACAGAGTGTTCAGAATCGTGGAGAAAGTTGTTCAAAAGTTTGTACTGAGAAACAGAGTGTTCAGAATCGTGGAGAAAGTTGTTCAAAAGCTTGTACTGAGAAACAGAGTGTTCAGAAAGCTCAGAAACGCTGAGAAAGTTGTTCAAAAGCTTGTACTGAAAAAAGAGTTTTTCTTCAAAAAAAAAAAAAAATGCAAGCTGCTACAAAACAAATATTTTACAAATCATACCAACTGACATGTACACAGAATTGATATAAGATAGGAACAGATGAATTTGTACACTCCAACAAACTGTTAAATTGTTACACATACATAAAATTGTATGTCTCAATTCTCCTTAATGAAAATCACTGAACTACATGTAAATTTAAGAGGAGGCAGATGTAAAATTTATTAGATAAGTTATATTATTCCAGTTTTGTAAGATGTTTTTATTTTGTGTCACTAGAGAGAAGAAGCCTTGTTGAGTGAGATGGAGGTCACAGGACAAGCTTTTGAAGACATGCAGGAACAGAACATGAGACTTCTACAGCAACTGAAGGAGAAAGATGACGCTAACTTTAAACTCATGTCAGAGGTAAGGCATTCTTAAGTTCAGAAGTTAACCAGTAGGTTAATAGTCAAGTTAAGTGAAAAAGAGTTAATCTAATTAAATAATAAAGCTAATTACTGTTGTAAGGTCAACCGTTAGCTATTGTAATTGAACAGGTATGTGTAGATTGTTTAAATGATGCTTCTTTAAGTAAATAATGGATGTGTTTTATAAAAAAAAAAATTCACTGTTTATGATAACCTTAAACAATGTACCAAGTCAGAAGGATTTGAAGTGTTTTGATTGGTCAATATAGAGAATAAAAGCCAATCAAATCCAGAAGTTACTGAGAGAAGAGAAGGAGGTTCTTGCTGACCAGGTGGTGACCTTACAGTCTCAGGTGGAGGCCCAGAACCTAGTGGTCCGTAAACTAGAGGAGAAGGAACAGATCTTACAGAACACTCTCTCAACAATGGAAAAGGAGCTAGGGTAAGTTATTGGTGAAGTTAAAAAAGGAGCTAGGTTAAGTTGTTGACGAAGTTAAAAAAGGAGCTTGGGTAAGTTATTGGTGAAGTTAAAATTTATAGGGGTAACAACAACAGGTTAAAGGTGAAATAAAACCTAGGGTTTCAAGTTACTGGTGAAGTTAAAAAAGGATCTAAGGTAAGTTATTGGTGAAGTTATAAAAGGAGCTAGGGTAAGTTATTGGTGAAGTTAAAGTTTATAGGGATAACAGCAACAGGTTATTGGTGAATTAAAGCTAGGATGTCAAGTTATTGGTGTAACTATAGCTAGGATATCTATTATAAATGTAGCTAGGGTGTCAAGTTATTGGTGTATTTATACTGTAGCAAGGGTGTTGAGGTATTAGTGTAATTATAGCTAAGTTATCAAATCATGTAGCTAGAGTGTTGAGTTATTGGTGTAATTATAGCTAGGATATCATATTAGTGTTGTTTTTCTAGCTAGGGAGTCATAATGTTATTTATAATTAGTTTAGTTGCTGTGTAGAATTTCTGTTATTTCTTTGGACAAAGAATCACAGGATATATCACAGGATATTTTCTGTGGCTTAAAACCTGCTTTACTGCATTACTGTATAACAAAGACATAGAAAGCCATCTATGTTTGCACATAAATGCAGCATGCAACATTTCAGTATCTGAAACATTTCTTTAGATTAACTCAGCAGGCAATGGAGATGCATAAAAGAAAAGCTGTGGAAAGTTCACAAACAGCAGCAGACTTAAAACTTCACCTTGACAAATACCAGGCCCAGCTCAAAGAGGCTCAGGTCTCTGTAGCTGAAAAAACGGGGGCACTGGAACAAGAATCCTTCAAGTACAAACGCATGCAGGTAATATGTTTGTGTGCATGTTAAATGTATGTTTTTTTTAATCTTCACTCAAGACAAAGATTCATTTATTTAATTTTTTTTACTTTATATATAATCTTTTTACTTTTCTATCAGCTCACCTTTAAGTAAAACAGATTGAAAATAATTTAATGCTACAGATTCAATTTTTTTTCTTGATCTGAAGATGATATATTAAGATGTCTATTTTGTGATGTTTATGAATCATTCATCTGCAAAGGTTGTTGTCTGACTTGACTCAGTCGAAAGTGAATGGAAAAGCTTTTTTTTCTTGGTAACAGGGATAACCATGCAGTAATTGCTAATGTAAATTATTTAATGTAGCTTTTCAGCGTTCTCCACAAGGGGTTTTACCATGGCGGCCCGCCATGGTTAAATTTATGTGCGCCATGGTTAAACGAGCTGCGCCATGGTTAAAATCGTTGGCCGCCATGATTAAATTTTTATTGCATTTTAGTGTTGACACCTACTTTTTAATGACTTGAGTAGTTAATTGTGTTTATACAACGACTGCCAGTGCACCTGGCATGCCTCGAGGGAAAGCGGACAATGCTAATCAAACACGATCGTTGATCGGCGATTATGCTGTGAAGCGTGACAATGGAGAGTCAATCAGCTGATAATCAATATCTTCATACTTATTTATCCTGTACACTTGTCATTTCGGGGAATTCCAACGTGTTCTCAATTAGCTCAATACGATAACAAATTGAACAGATGACATAGAAATGAGCAGTAACAACATGAAAATCGGCAAGCATCCGATTCGCTTTCTTTCTGATAAAATGTACATCAGTGCCAATGGTAGTATTACTTTTAGAGTTACCTCCCGTTCTTATGAAACGTCGCGTGGATCTATTTTTAGCACTGAAGCACGTGGAGAAGTAAACAAAAGTGGAAAATCGGCGAAAATACAATATGTAGAAAAAAAGAACGTTTAGGATTAAAAGAAAAACAAAAAAGAGAAAGCAAAATTACAATTATATCAAATTTATACCCCTGGTTATATTTAGTTACTTTTACCATGCACGCCCATCAGTAAGTTTTCATAGACCATGCAGTAAAAAAGCTGAGTCATTAATTGATAGGATGTCGGTGTTTGTGAGTCTGTTAACTTTTAAAAAATGCTACCCATTCATTAGTTTTATTCATATTTAAATAAAACGTTTCATACAACAGGCAACATCAATTCTGTATATATTAATTTTTAATGTTGCCATGGTTACTCTATCAATTTTTTTCTTTTTGGAATTCCTTCAAATTGTTCCTACAGTCTTGGGATTTTGTTACACATTTGTAAAGAAAGATACATATTAATCTTTTTTATCATGTTTATTCTTATTTATATTTTTTAGATTAGTTGTTTCAACTTTTTGTGTTGCAGTAATTATAAGTTCATTGATTAACGAAGGTTAGGAAGTCTAACACGCATTCGTGTTTTCATTCACATCATTACTCGTGTTTTTGGCTTCGCACAGCTTCCTCCATGGTTAAATTTTCAAATGTGGAGAACCCTGGCTTTTGTTGCTTAAAAAAAAAAAAAACAACAAAAAAACCTTTGAATTATTTTTAGCAAACTAGTCTGTGTGGATGGTAAAAGAACTTCAACTGAGCAAGGAAACTTTATCATCTATAATTTCTAAAATAGTTTTTATGTCATATTGGTTCTAATGGATTTTAATCCTGCTGACCTATTTTTAAGATATTTCCTGTCATATGCAATGTTACTAAGGATATGATGGAGTAAGTTCTATATGGCACTTAAGTTCTATCAAATGAAAGGCCTATAATGATAAACTTAATAATAATATTTGTTGAGGTGAGCTATGTAATTTTTTATTACATGTAATTATGTTTATTTATTAGAAATGCTGGTAGATCATATTGCACACCTGTTTATCTTGACTACTGATATACAGTAGATTAATTTCATAATGGTTATTTATGGCTGTCTGTTGTATGCTTATGTTTGTTATCACCAGGAGGAGATAGTGAAGCTACAGAGGAAGCTGGAGAGAAGTAAAAAGATTGAAATGGCCGGAGCGGCAGATGAGGTCTTAATGGCGGAAATAGCGGAGTACAAGGTAAGGGGTCAAAGGACAACAATTAGACAAAAAGGGCACCTGCTGTTGTTATCTAAGGATAGATATGCAACATTTCAAAGTAAATCTGAGTTTACTTTCTTCCATTGCGTTATTCCTTTTATGAAAACTTTCTGATAGGAAATGTGGTAATATTGATTTGTTCAGGACCATTTTGTTGTGATTTTTTTTCTGAAGAGAACTTGAATCATCAAAACTAACATGAATATTAGTGTTTGATTTTACTAAGTAAGTAACAAGAAGGGAAAAAAATATACAAAATCTTTTTTTTTTGGAAATATTGTGTAATAACAGTATACGAGTACTCTTCTCACTTTGAGGTTTCTTTTTACACAGTTTAGAATTTCAAGACTGCAAAGAACTTGTCCACATTCATATGTCATTAGTAATGTTTTCTAGGGGAATAAAATATCAGTGCCTGTGTATTTTGATATAAGTGTTGTGGATTATGTAATATTTGACCTTTCATTCTCATACATGCAAGAGAAATACTAGATAACCTGTCGAAGAAACATACCAATTTGGGGGTCAAAGATGAAAGGTCAAAGTCAGAAATGTTAGAAATGTATATCTCATGGACACCATGTAGAGAGTGCTATTTAGTATTAAATTCTCATTCAAAAAGAAATGTTTTGAACTCTAGGCAAGACACTCCTTAATTTTGAGAACACAAGGTCTAAATTATTTTTAATTTTGATGGTGTCATGTTCACAAAGTAATATCAGGTACTTGGGCCCTCATTATTGTCCATCAATAAACTGAACCTCATATACTATAAAAGTATTGTCCTTCAAAGTCTTGCTGTCATTTAAAGATTTTTATTATCTAGCTTAATATTTTCTCTCCACAGGAACAACTGACTTGTCCATCCTGCAAAGTGAACAAGAAAGACGCAGTTTTAACAAAGTGTTTTCATGTGTTCTGTCTGGAATGTTTAAAGACTCGCTATGAGACGAGACAGAGAAAGTGCCCCAAATGTAATGGAGGCTTTGGTGCCAATGACTATCACAGACTCTACATATCCTAGCAGAGCAACAGTCAATCTGGTGGAGATATATGTGTGTGTGTGAGTGAGTGAGTGTGAACAGTGAGGAAAAGCATTTCTAAGAGAGGGATCAATTTTTCATTTCACAGTTTTGTACCATCTTGTCAGTTATTAGAAATTGTTGCTACATGAACTTACGATGAAAGAAGCATATATCACTACATGCTAAACATTTTTATGTTTACTCATACCATGTATCACGTGTGTGTCTGTATAGTATGTCAAAAAGGAATTAAAGAGATGTATGTAAAATCAATTTAGATCTGATGTCAGATTCTATGTAACATTAAAGTTCAAGATGTGTGTATTGTGTGCAGATTGTGTTATGATGTTTCATACACACATTTCACAGTATTGTGAATAAATTGATTTTATAAGCATGTGTCAAGTATTGACAGGAGGTTCTTTAAGGATCTGTAAGGAACAGAGTAAAGTTTTTGAACTTCAATTACATGACTTTATTTTAGCTCTTCTGTGACAAAGAGCCAATGCTATGGACATTTGTGCGATATGCTTAAATGATTTGGAATATGGTCCAATTTTTTTTCAAATTTGTCACAGAGTATCCTTGGCTCAAAGGCTCTCATTTATACTAAAAGGGATGTGACCCTTAAAATAGGGGGAGATAATTAGGGAAACAAAAACAAAGTAGTGGTTGCTAAAAAAATCTTCTCAAGAACCACTGGGCAGATTATCACCAAACTGCATCAGGATGAGGATATGTTATAAATTAAAAATTATTGAAGGCATCACCCTTGGGCAAAGGGTATAGTCTCAAGGTCACTTCAAAGGTGACTTAAAATTGTGTTTATTTAAAACTTTGATATTTTGCCGACTATAAGGACTAGAATCATCAAATCTTGTCAGGTGATGCATTTTAGGACCTCATGTCATGTTGACTCTCGGTCACCCATTTTTAAAATTTTACAGCTATTCATTTTCAATTTGGTTTTGATGCATATCTTGGGCACTTTGAAGCCTATATGATCATCAAAACTTAACAGATTATGTATCATGGGGCCTTGAAGTGTGTTGATCAAAAAGTAGGTCACTGTGACCAACCTACTTTCTGATTTTTATGACTTATTTGCAAAACATTTAAGGTCATTATTTCAGATACTGAGAGGTTTAAATTCATCAAATCTTGGTAAGTTGATGCATCTTGAAGGTTTGAAACATATTTTTTCTAAAAGTAAGTCACATGAGCTACTTACCTTTGAGTTTTGCAGGTACCGGGTATTCATTTTCAAATTGTTTTAGAGGCATACGAGGGGCATTTGAAAAGTTCTGAGAACTGTTTGATTAAAATATTAACCGATTCACAGAATTTAATGAATTTGATACCATTGAAAAGTGCTTGAAAATTTGCACTTATTTCGACGTCACTTTCTATTTTTATGACGCTATAACTTCGAAAATGCCGTCAGAATCTCGAATGTTTATCATACTGAAAAATCGGATTTTTTGTCCACATGAGAAGATCGGAAAATTGTTATCAAAGGCTCTTTGAAAAGATATTTCAAATAAAATTTGTATGGAGGTAGAGTTAGACTGACAGAATGGAACCGTATATCAGAAGTTCCATATTGTATTTTATGGATGGTTAGTAAGCACGGTTTAGTACAATTCTCTTTTCTGCTTGAACTTTCAGTAAGGCGTGACATTCTCAGCGATACATAATTAGTGTCTCTCAAACAGTGACCTTGATTCTCATTGCCTGCCAGATTAGCTCATCAATACTGAAATTTACACAACTTTTCATTCACAGGTGAAATACACATGGGATAAAAATGGGTCAGACGTCAACGAGTGACGCAAGGAACCAATTACATCGTCTCTTACAGTAAAGGGATGGCTTATGTCATCTCATCGTATGTTAACAACAATCGAAAGTTGCTAATGTTATTAATTTCGTAACCAATGAAAATCTAGGTCACCAATTGAGAGGCGCTAATTATGTATTGCCGAAAATGTCACGCCTTACTGAAAGTTTAAGCAGAAAAGAGAATTATACTATGTCCGGTTAAGTTATCATAGGCATTCATACAAGATTTTCATTTATGATATAGTCGGACTTTCGGTCTATTATATAGTTCTCCATTGTATTAAACAAAATGTATTCTGTATAAGACTGAAGTGTATCGATCAATGACAATGCAGTTTTCCAAAAATGTATCTTGAGTAACAGGACGACTCTTAATTACCGTTTACGAATAAAACGTACAAAATTAAGTCTTTCCCCGGACTGACTTGTTTTTGTGCGTATTTTTTCACATTATTCAACTTTGGCTCCAAAACTCATTATATTGCTTTTGAATTTCGACTCAAAGAATATATATCTGAGTTTCATTGCCATGTAAAATCTTATTTATTTTTCATGATTTAAAATTTGCTAACATATCGATCGAGTCACGGTAGAGATACAATTTACACCGCCGCCATTTTGATTTTCAGAAAAAAATATCATAATTGAACATCCTTAGCTTAACCCTGAGCTTTAATCGTTCCCGTAAAATTGGTTAAAACACCTGACAAATTAATGCCATCAAATTTCGTAACACCGCCCAGTGGCGCAGTGGTGATAGCGTTCGCTCTAGAGAGTTGATCCTTACGTCGCGGGTTCGAATCCCACTGTGGGACGTGGAGACCGGTCCTTCGGATGAGACCATATAAATCGAGGGGCCCGCCCTGAGTGCCAAGTATAGGTCAAAATTTATAGGTCTCCACCGTCAAATTTCAAGGCTTTATCTTCTAAAAAGTTTAGAATAGAAGTGATACTGGGTTGTGCAATTTATCAGAAGAGCGATTCTCTATGCCCTTGGGCATCTTGTTCAGAGACAAATGAATTTCATCAACAGTACCTGGCATGATAATTTAAAGTCACTTACCATGTTGTTAAAAAAATCTGTAATTTTAAAGTTAAAATTTTTATTCATCAGTGAATTATAATTTTTACAACAATGTGAATTCATTAACAAATAAGTGCTTAAGGTCTTATATCTAGTTTGTTAAGTATTTACAATTTGTGAGATGGATGTGTTCATTTCCAAGTTTCCAGCTAAAAGAAAGAAAAAGAAATATGACATAGAACTTCAATTACTATAACTAGTAAAGAAAAATGTTGACATGACAGACCCTGAATTTCTAATCTGCTTAATGATAAGTGCATGCAACAACAACTAATGCTACTAATTAAGGGAGGGTTTTTTAAAAAAAGCTTGCTTATTATTGTGATTAATTTTAGAGATGTTAGGGATGTCTCTAATCATTTCCTTGGAAAATATTTGTGTGAATTATTAATGAGTTTCATTTATTTTAAGCACTGTCAAGACCATCGCTAATAATGCCAAAATTAGTTGGTCGCTAATAATTCCCATTATACGGTAGGCTTTATCTGCTGCCCGATCCTATAGAAAAGGGTTAAAAAAACTTTTTATGCTGTTTGATCCTATGATAGAGGGCTTAAATAGGCTTATCCTGCTGCCCTATCCAACGGGAAACTCCCAAAACCTTTCTCTGCTCCTTGATCGATCCAGTCATCCTTTGGAAGAAGGCGCAGTATAGGCTTAGCCTTCTGCTCGATGCTATTCAGTATTTATATATTGAATAAAATATGGTTTAAAATGGTCAACTTTGAATTCATTACTATCAATTAAGGCTCGAGTAAAGACCCTGATATCGCTATCTCTTTGCACTGTGAATATGATCTTGATACACCTCAAGGTCATGGGGATTAAGATCATGTTTGAATTTATTTCAATCCGCATTTCAAGGGGTCATGACCCGGATACTACTTTTTTGGACAAAGGATTCCACGAAAAAACTTTTATGTCGACAGTACAGAGAGATGTCACATTTCTAATTTTATTATCAAATATACATACATGTTTTACTTTGTACAGATGGCGTGTCTATTTGTAGTGCTGCTATACGTTTGACTGACCAGTGACCTGCCATGGACCAATGGATTTCACTTGTAGTTACTACTTATTAATATTCAGGTTTAACCAATAAACTCATGCGCTATATAAAGCAAGACACCCGCACATGCCCCCCCCCCCTCCTTTCAAAGCTGTGTACAACACGGTGATGGCAGATTTTCTCTTTATTCATCAGAGATCAATTCATTCGATGTCTGAATTCATTCCTTACTTTATTACTGGATATCCGTTAAGATCTGCATTGATCTTGTATTCATTTACTTGTTAAACACATGTAACGATTTACTGACAGTTGTATAAATTTCGTAATTACCTTTACTTTTCGTTAATGTTTAAATGCCTTTTTGTTTTGTGTGTTGTCTTTGTCTTTTGTCTTGTATGTCTATTGTGAGTGTGTTTTTCTATTTTCTAGGGTTTTAAATGCAGGCCCGTAGCAACGGTGTCAACAGTGGGGGATGGAGGGATTGGAGGGCAACTTTCCGAATAAATCTGACAAGCAAAAAAAAAAAAAAAACAAAAAACAAAACAAAACAAAACAAAAACAAAAACAAAAAAAAAAAACAACAACAAACAAAAAAACAAACAAAAAAACCCCAACAAAACACTTACTGACCAAAAAGGGGCGGAGGCAACTTCCAAATATAATCTGACAGTCCAACCCCCCCCCCCCCCCCGTATTTACTGTCCAAAGCCTGGAATTTTCCAGTGCTCGACCTTACAGCAACAAAAAGTGGGCCTGAAATGTCCATAATTAAAATATAGACAGAGACCGAATCGGTTAACAATTGACAAAGCAAGACCGTGACTCTAGCTCCGACCTACCGGTAGAGCTCGCAAAAGCAATATAACATACGAAATACATGTACAAATGGAAATCTACAGCGCATTACTCATTTGAAACCAATTCAAGTATTTTTAACTATTAAATTTGGCTTTGATGAATTACATGGAATTGAACACTTAAGATTATGCCTGTACGTTTCTCATTGAGAGAATTAGCCGTGATTTGCTGATGGAAAAAAAACTATTCATAAATAAGTTACTGACTTTACAACTGGTTAAGAGCACAAACCTTCAAGTGCTAAAACTTCTTTTCAGGTAATAAGCTTAACCCCTAGCGATATTCAGACTGTAAACTTCCAAATTTTCACGACACCTTATTTTCGCGAGAAAGCTATTTGGTATTTATAAGCCAAACAAAATTTTCTAGAATTCTGGTTATTGCTGTATATAATTTTGATGAAAAAATATACACAAAAATATTTTTTTTGTGAGCAGACTGTCTAGTGTTATTAAGCAAAAATAAAGTTCTTGCGAATAAAAAGTGATTTACAGTAATGAAATGTGGAGATAATGAACATTATTCAAGCTCAAAGTCCATTTAGACAATACAAATCGGGAGCAGAGCAAACACGGACCTCCAGAGTTGGGATCAGGGATCAGGAAGAGTGAGCATCCCCTGCCGACCATTCACACCCGCCGTGTGCTACGTGTCATGATCGGGAAATCGGAAAAAATCCGTAGTCAATTCAGTGTGTAAATAATGGTATAACAATTAGTATGAAAATCGACAGTAAGCATTTGACTTAATGATAGGTTGTATTTGCTGACAAGGTCATTGTATCGACCATAAAAACTTGCAAAATGATGACTTCAAACGAGAGTTATTTATATCCTCGATTCATCAATTTGTTTGTCAATAGCTTGCCTCGTTTTAAAAATTGTTAAGACGTAGAGCATGCTCTTGCGTATCGAATCAACTGGGAGTAAATAATTGAGTTTCTTCATTAACAAACAAAGAACAACAACAATAATTAATGATAATGATAATAATAAGATAATGTAACTCATTCATATCCGTCATTGAAGTCGACTCAAACATAACTAGCTATTCTTTGCGTCTATATACACTGCACACGGTTGCTAGCAATAAAAGTAACTTAATCTAGTCTATATATCCTTATCCGAAATTGCCCCAGTGTTAATAAACTCCTGCTGGTACCAGCTAGGGTAGATCTTTTAGTTGCTGGTACCAGGGCAGATCTTCTAGTTGCTGGTACAGTTGCTGGTACCAGGGTAGATCTTTTTAGTTGCTGGTACCTTGATAGATCTTCTAGTTGCTAGTACCAGCGTATATCTTCTGAATTATAATTGTCCGCAACAATTATAGAGATATCTTGCAGATTTATCAAAATGGATAAAAACATAACATCCTTCCAACACTGCTAGCTATAGTTAATTAATAGAATAATTCTGTGAAACCACTGAAATAGAAATTGCAAATCAGACTGTTTTGCTGGCATCACCAGTTGCACTTCACCTTAACTGGTTGCTTTTCACCAATGTTTGTCGGGGACACCCTGGAGAGTTGTAATTTGTCAACACTTTTACTTTTTCGATCTATGAATGATTTTTTCATTTGTCGCAGAATGTTTTTATTGTAGAGATTGCTGAAGTTTGTAGCGAGGATGGCTACAGGCATGGCCAATATAAGCATCCCAGAGAAAGCACACGCCCCTCCAACAATGTAACCAAATGTTGACTTTGGAAACATGTCTCCGTACCCCACGGTTGTCATTGTAATCACAGACCACCATATCCCTATGAAAATATCCGAGAAGGTGTCTACCACGTAGAATTCAGCATAGTAGATGAAACTTGCAAAGAATAGTGAAGTGATAAGAAACGTCAAGGTCAGAAGAAGAAGGTCTCTAATGCTAGCTCGAATCGACATCATCATTATTCTCAAACCAGAGTATACCTTCATCAGTCTGAACACCCGAAATAGCCTCAAAATGAGCAGGGATTTTATCACTAAATAAAATTGCACCAGTTCATAGTGGTTCACCAGAAACTCCAGATCTTGTTCGAGAATAAAGGTCGTCCACATGGCAACCACCAAGAGAAGATCAATGATGTTTAAAGGTGATCGAAAATATTTCGATCTTCTTGGACAAGATATGAAATGAAAAATTAGTTCAAAGGTGAAGAAAATGGAGGTGAACATTTCGCTGTACCTCAGTGCTTCGTTAGGGAGTGATGTTCCAAGCATGACTTCTTTGGGGTTCTGCAAGTTGAGTTCTTTAAAAAAGCGAATGTCTTTGTATGCAATTATCATCAACAGATGAGTATATGGTAACTTTTCCTCTCTGAAAGACGGATGTGCACCCAGCACAAATGTTACCATGGAAACAATAACAATAGCAAGGAAGATGTAGTTGAAAACCTAGAAAGAGAAAAAAAGTAATCATTATTGAAATGCTGTCATATAATATAAAATATAACTTAAACTTTTCTGCATGTATGTCGTAACTGATTTCATAATTGCTGTTCTTTCAAATTTTTTAAAAATGGAAAAATATCATTATGAAAAGGGTGAAGATTAATCTCATAAATCCTGTAAACAAATACGAAACATTAGTAGGGGCAAAAACGCAGACATCTCGAAACACCACAGATGGGATGGGATCGGATGCCTAGGAGGAGTAAGCATCCCCTGTCACATCTACCGTGAGCCTTCTGTATTGGTAAGGTAAATGGAGTAATCCGTAGTCAAGATTAGTATAAACAAGGGCCTAACAATGGGTATGAAACGTGTCGGCCGATATACGATCCAAGGGTAGGTTGTATTTGCTAAAAAGTAATTATAAATACCATAAAATTTGCAAAATTTCGACTTTAAAGAAAATTGTAAAAAGACCTGAATTATCAATTTATCTGTCAGTAGCTTGCCATGATATAAAATTAATCGTACTCAGAACATGCTCATTCGTACCAAATCAGTAAGAAGACATAAACACCATATGCAGATTGATCACTGTTTATCTTCAATATTTCTATATAAATAGAAGAAGTTAAGGATGGAAAATCTGAAGTCGTCTCTAAATGCCGAATTGAAGGCCACAGGAAGAGTTTTCTTCTCATGTGAAGTTTATATTATGATGAATGAATTTTGTTTCATAAGAGTATAAAAAACAGGTCGGCTAATAAAAAAGCATAATTAATTAGTGCCAATTCCAACAGATTATGCGAAGACCCAGTCTCCAAAGACTACATAGATATTGTCATTGAAAAACGCAAGCACTCTGTTTCTCAAGCACCCTTTATATATATACATTTCATACTTTTATATATATATATATATATATATATATATATATATATATATATATATATATATATATATATATATATATATATATATATATATAAAATAAATATATATATTAGGGATGGCAATTTGTAACCGGTTAATCGGTTACTCGGTCGGAACGATAGTAATTGGTTAGAAAATCTGTAATCGGTTAGTCGGAAAATATTGAAATATGTATAAATTTAAACGCAATTTCCTGAGAATTCGATTTTCAATTTAAAAAAAATACAAATTAAAAATTATGAAATGTTCGCATTTTCACCTATCTATCTAAACTGATTCGGAGATAATTAAGGCTCTCCGGATTGACATCGCAGGGGTAATTGGTCAGTTTTCGAGATGTTAATTGCTGTTTATACACCATGTCGTTACCCAGCCGTGATGTGTTTCTTTAATGATTCTAATTAAAGGATCGTTGAGTACTGTGAACTATGTACCTTCCTCTTCTATCCTTTGTAGTTATCTATCAAATTATATTACTTAAACAAACACTGTAAATTAAGCAAAAGTTCACACTTAATTCTGATTATGGTGACAAAGCAGAATGAACTATAAACTTGCGTGACATTGTTCTTAATTTTTAGCCGGGCTCATTGCTCGTAGAGCAATAGCCGGATTTTGTTACGGTGTTCAACCGGAAATGCTGCTTCCTCACCGCCAAATTTGCGAGTAAGAATATAGTACGTATGCTCAATCACCTTTGAGGCAATACAATCACTAAATTAAACAAAGTAATATGACATTCTCAAAAAAGAAAAATTATATAGTAACCATACTTTCTCCCCTCTTCTCCGATTAATTATTTATTTAAAATATGCGAAGGATTTTTATCATGTCCCCCTGTCTGCGTCACATTCTATAAATAATTGAAGGTTGTGTTACTAGGCAAACACTAATGAAGGGAGCATGTGACCTGATGTACACTTTGAAGCAAAACTTCCCGCTGAGGACCCATCTGTGCATAAACCTTTGACCTTAATCCTGCTGCATCAATGTTTATTTACTTCTGTAAGTGGTATACAAGACCTCGAAACGATACAAGTGATAAATATTGTTTACGCTGTTAAATTCTAGCTATACATTTTATTTAGTTTTTTAAAACATTTTTTAAATTATACTATTTTTTAAAGAGAGATATTATTATTTTTTTTTTCTGTGGAGTGTGGTATCGTAGTGACATTTATTTTGAGCACAATACAACGTCCGGCAGTACATAGCAAACTCAAATGAAAGAAAAATTGTAAATTTGTTAATTGTTAGTTTTCATGGGCTGTGTGAATTGCAGTGAATACTGTAAATATAACTATAATCAATGATGCCATGGCTATTTGGCAATGATTTAGTAGTTTGTACGAAATTTTCAGTAGGTGCTGACATAGGTGCAAGGTGGAGTGTAACTGTGTGCTGACATAGGTGCTAGGTGGAGTGTAACTGTGTGCTGACACAGGTGCTAGGTGGAGTGTAACTGTGTGCTGACATAGGTGCTAGGTGGAGTGTAACTGTGTGCTGACATAGGTGCTAGGTGGAGTGTAACTGTGTGCTGACATAGGTGCTAGGTGGAGTGTAACTGTGTGCTGACATAGGTGCTAGGTGGAGTGTAACTGTGTGCTGACATAGATGCTAGGTGGAGTGTAACTGTGTGCTGACACAGGTGCTAGGTGGAGTGTAACTGTGTGCTGACATAGGTGCTAGGTGGAGTGTAACTGTGTGCTGACATAGGTGCTAGGTGGAGTGTAACTGTGTGCTGACATAGGTGCTAGGTGGAGTGTAACTGTGTGCTGACATAGATGCTAGGTGGAGTGTAACTGTGTGCTGACACAGGTGCTAGGTGGAGTGTAACTGTGTGCTGACATAGGTGCTAGGTGGAGTGTAACTGTGTGCTGACATAGATGCTAGGTGGAGTGTAACTGTGTGCTGACACAGGTGCTAGGTGGAGTGTAACTGTGTGCTGACATAGGTGCTAGGTGGAGTGTAACTGTGTGCTGACATAGATGCTAGGTGGAGTGTAACTGTGAGTGAAAATTTCTCAGATGTAAAGAAAACAACTAAAAATAAATCTGGTTTTAAATGTACTTGATACTTTTGGCATGTTTCATCGTTTTTTTTAAAATGTTACTGATACATTAGTAGTCTTCTTATTTATTTCAATACAACTTACAATGACGAAATAGAATTTTTGATACGATTAACCGATTAATCGGTAGGAACGTCTTGCGGTTAACCGATTGGCAATTCTGTATTCGATTGCCATCCCTAATATATATATATATATATATATATATATATATATATATATATATATATATATATATATATATATATATATATATATATATATATATATATATATATATATATATATATATATTTATATATATATTATCACTTCCATTTTACCGAAAAAACGGAAGGATTGATGGTACTTATACTTTCTTTACCTTAATTTTAATTTGCTAATACGATTCTTTAATATACATATACAGTGTACTTCTAAAACAATTGATCTCGTCTGACAAGAATCGAGGTTTTCCTTTTCATATTTAGCCCTTATTCTGGCATACTCCTCAACAATGTAGCTGGTACGAAGGACAGAATAGTTTTTAAAAATTTAAAATTCCTCATGCATAATTTTTTTGGTTTTTAAAAAATTGAATGATCATGCACAAAAGAAAACTAATTATCCAGCTATCGATTTCATATTTCATCGAAAGATTGACTGCTTTTGCAGTAAGGAAATAAAATTAATCTTTAGAAAATATCAACTCATCTTAACGATATCACGATACATGTATTTGTCTATGTGTATGTACCGGGGTATAGACATGATGAATACTGGTATACATATTCATTCCTCAGTGCATTGATTTAGATTGTTACAAAAATAAAATATATTATTCAATGGTAAAACCAAAAACTTACATTTTGTGTAATTTAAATAAACATGGTTTGAGTGCCTAACATGGAATTTGCTTCTATTGTTCTTTCCATAAATTTTCCATTTTCTTAAAAAATCTTAATTGCCCTTACCTATGTAATGAAATATTGACTAACAAACAATTTTTTTCTCTCCCTTTGAAAAGTATAAATGTAGCGATGCAATTAAGTGAATATGATTTTCTTTAACAAGTTTTCTTAGTTTGTCTTTTTGAAAAGGCATCGTTTGTATCCGATAAAAAAAAATCTTCCGATGAAAATGTTGCATTAGTGAATGGATTTGAGTTCCCTAATTACAAATTTGTATCATTTTAAAAAGTAATTTGGTCTAGTTAAACAAGTTTTTTAAACAAAAGCAAACAAACAAACCAAAAACAAAAACAAAATAAAACAAAAGTAAAAAACAAACACAAAGCAAACAAATAAACAAAAACATGGGAATGGTTAGACCACAATAAGGTATCGAAGTTTTACTCAAGAATATATTGGGGGAATATTTAAAAAAAATCTAATCTTACTGTTAAGAACAGCAGGGTTATGATCAGCCATATCAAAACGCAAGCACTCTCAAATAGTACTGAATCAAGTTTGTTAAATTCATGGCCCCTGAATGGGATCATGATAAAGCATAAAACTTTTGCATAGGCATATAAAAGGAAAAATCTTTAAAGATCTTTCTCCTAAGAAGAACATGGCTATTACTATGTAAGCATCCTCAGCTTAAACAAATCATGGCCTCATGCCGGAGTAAAGTTAGGCCACAATATAGGAATTGAAATCTTCTAAAAAGTGGAAGGGCCATGATAGCCATATCATTACATCTTTATACAGTTAGGGCAAATTCAGGTTTGTTCAAACTGTTACGCCCGGAATGTATGGAGCAATATTAGGGAGTCAAAGTTTTACACTTAAATAAATAAGGAAATATCTTTAATAAAAATATTTCTCTCATTAAGCAAGTCCGGTTAGTCATATTGATATTAAAGGATCCTACTAAGTGTCGTGCGGATTCAAGCTAATTCAAAATCCCTTGGAACTAGAGTAGGGACACAATATGGTGTCAACAATGTTCAAGGGAAAAGGGGGGAACAGCAGGTCCAATGTGACTTTGGTGAGCCTTGTGGCTTATGAGCCTCTTGTTTTTGATTAAATAACCAACTACTCGTTCGAAAAAAAGACCGGTTACTGGATTTTTCATTGCTGAAGAACCATTGTTCCCTTTCATAGACACAATAAGAAATCAAATATAAAATTTTAAGTACGCTTTATTAATCATAGTGTAACTGCTATCAAACGTTTAAAAGGTTTTAGCAAGATAAATATTTTCGGACCGTACCATTTAAAGACTCTTCCTCTGGATGAGAGTCACTCCACTACAAGTTTATATAAATTATGTCTTTAAATAACCTATTCCTTCATAAAAAGTGTTTCAGTTTTCTTTGAAATGGTTAACAAAGCCGGGTTTCCATTTATATCATTCAATTTTGATATTACCTGTCTAGTTTTCTAGAAAAAAAAAATGTCCGCTTTCTGTACTAATTCAGAAACAAACCTTCATGAAAAAAATTAAAGGAGACAGAATATTTAATGAACCTTTTGTTATATGAACATTGTCTGTAAACTTATATTGAACTATGTTTTTTTTTTCTCAAAGATAATTTGATTCATAAAATGAATATATAAGTTTAGACTATTTTTATTACGTAATTGAAAAAGCTTTTTTGTGCACGATGAATTGCCAATTTTAATGTATAATTTACAATTTTTTGAATTTAAACTTTTGCAACATTTCAAGTCCCATCATCTTAAAAATCTTTAAATATTTATCGTTTATCGTTAGTGGGAACATTTCCAGTCGTTGCATTCCGTTTTTTATTTTTGGAAAATTTGAAACTTTCCCAAGTTGCATTATATTACAATTGTAAATGTTTATTGAATTCCACGACTAAACTCTAAAATACTTATCATCCTCTTATTACTAAATTTCCATAAAACTCCAGCGGTATCGATAAATACAATGTCAACCTTTGATATCGATTTTGTTTAATTGAAGATCTGTTATTTAAACAAAGAGGGTCAAAAACACAATAGAAAATCGATGGCGTGCGATAAAAATCTTTGTAATTGTAACCATAATCAGTATTTCGGAAAAAATAGAAATACATAAAAAAAAAAAATAAATAAATAAAAGTGCGACTTTAAATTGAAAGAAAATCTCTATACTCTAAACTGTACTAAACTATTTATTTAATACTGTCGACACAGATTATAAAGAGTGTAAACAGTATTGTCAGTCTTGCTTTTAAATTATTCTGATTCATTCATTTCATCAAAAGCAATTTTCTTCTGATAATTATGCCTGTACTATCTACAGAATATATTAATTATTGTATTCTTTATGATAATGGACCTTATTTTCAAGTAGTGATATTGTATAGCAGACAAGCCTTGTAGGAGATATAATTTATAAAGCTGGGGTGAGTTGAGATTAGCTAGAAATTAAATGAAAATTTACATTGGAAAATTTTAAATGTATTAAACATTATTTTTAAAACACAATACTCTTTTGCTATTTATGGTTTGAGTCTGCTCATGTTAAAATAACTTAAAAAAAACTATACAAGTATATGAAAAAATTGATACATAAAACTTCTATTACAACATGTCCAAAATGTCAACCAAATCTTTGAAAAAATATAATTTTTAATCCGATTGATAAAGAGGAATTTTGATAAAATAACATATAAACTGGCAGATCTTTAGATGAGAGAGAGAGAGAGAGAGAGAGAGAGAGAGAGAGAGAGAGAGAGAGAGAGAACCTTAGCTATTTTCGATGACGATGGTTCTTCCAATGTCAGCCATATCTTCCTGAGAATTCTTTTGACTTGACTTGTACGACATTCCTCTTCGGTGTAATCCAGTTCATATTCTTCAAACGTCTGTTTTAACTTCTGTGTCGTCTGGATGTCGGCCTCAGATTGGATATATTGTTGCAGACAACAATCTGAAAGCATTTTGGGTGAAAGTTCCCAAAAATCAAGTTCCTGTTTTATCATAGCACCACAATAGAATGAAGGGAAATGGAGCGTCCCTGTGCGATAAAGATCCAAAATCGAGGGGAAAATATCTGGGTTTCTGTCGAAAAAGTAACATTTTCTATGGTCATCATAGAACTCTGATTTTCGTGAAAGTCTTCCTAATAAAGTATCTGGGTATCGAGAGAGAGTTTGGATTCTAGTTTCATACATCGAACCCCCTACATTGATTTTCACGATCTCCATCATGTTCCTTCAGTGGGTTCAGAAGATATGATGTGAATATGTAGAATCAATTGTAGTTGAGCGATAAATGATTAATTATCATTGATTCTTTTTAAATATTTTGAGCTTTTATATTGACATGGAAGATAAGCAGGTCCTCTATTTTCAATATAAAGGTGATAATTTCAATATCCAACCATCACTTTGATTGCAAATAACTAAACAAACTTCCGTTGAAATCTCGATTAAGTAACAGCTTTTTAAATCGCTATTTGTTATTTCATGCACACAGATACCTAAGACAACGTCATAAGGATGTGGAATAAAATGATGTATGGGAAGCCATTTTGGGGCAGAGTTATTAAGTTGCCCATATCAAAAGTAATTTATACTCTCAACAATACCCCAAAACACCACAAGATGAAACTGCTGCAATAGGACGCCATGGACAAGGTTACGAGGTGGGATTGGAGATGGGCGCTTAAATATATAACAATTTTTTGATTAAAAAAAGCTCATTTAGTTTCTTGAGGTGTTCAGAAACTGAAAAAAGAGGGGGAAAACTTCCTCTAAAACAGCAGGGGTATCTGATTTATCTGGATTTATGACGTATGGGGAAGTCGTGCTGACTCTCCATCTATATTTGGAGAGAAAAAAAAATTACTAAATGAAGGGAATATAGGCCAGAATATTTCAGTTAGCGAGTTATTGCTTACAACATTACCAACATTACTGTGGGACCGTGAAAGAAAAAAAAACACGGATTTCTGAAAACAGAGGTGGGATAAGGTGCCATGGAATAGTAAGCATCCCCTGTTGACCGATCACGCATGCTGTGTGCTCCTTGTTTATGATCGGATAAACTTAGCTGAGACAACCGTACACAATTCAGTATAAAAAATAATGGCCTAACAATTTATACTTCTTTTAGGCTATTTAGACTTCAGTTAACATTCGACTTAACGACTGATTGTATTTGCAAATAAGGTCATTATATCAGCCATAGAATCTGCAAATGTTGACTTAAGCCAGATTGTTGACATCTTTGTGTCTTTAAAGTATTTGTCAATAGCCTGGTTCGTTTTTAGAAATTTTTCGTACGTAAAACATGCTCCTGTGCATTGAATCAACTCTGAGAACATAAACTTCATATAAAGGTGAAAATAGTATATTGCTACATAGATGAGTTGACGCTTGAAAAGTTGAAGTCATCACTTTTATCATTTAGTTCATTTTTTGATTGCCGTCAATGTATTTTTCTAGAAAAGCATCCAAATTTGAAACAGATGTGTCAGATTCTATGGTGTCTTTTATTTCGATTTCAGTGGGATATATCAAATCAACTTAGTAATGGAAATAAATGTTGTTAATTGATAAAACGTCGTCGATATATCTAAATGTCGAGTTGAAGACCTGGGCAAGAGACTTCTTCTTTTTGAATAAATTCGGCTTCCCATGAATATAAAAACAGATCTACTAATAACGGGACAAATTAATATCCCTGGGAATTCCAAAGATTGTTAAAAGACTTGGTTTCCGAAAATCACATAGATATTGTCAATGAAAAAAAAATGAAGTATCGCTTTGATATCAAGCTCGGAGTACTCGTGTGTAGAAACAGAATGTTTTTGAACAAAACAAGTCTGCATATGACCAGTGACAAGGTACTAGTATGCAATTTACGAGTTTCATTTTTTTTTTTTTTGAAGAAGAAGCAGTTGTCTAGGATGTGAAAGAATCTGGTCTTTAATCTATCGTGGAGAATGTTGTATAAAGTGTTGAAAAGTCGTACGTTTTGATGTTATTAATTTTGGTAAAATCTTGTGCTTTTTAAATTTTATAAAAGTTTCTTCAGTTTTGAAGTATCCACAGCTGAAAAGCACCACTTCTCGAATATTTTGTTGTACAGTACTTCCGAAGATTTTTCTTCATTGCTGTTAATATTTTTGTAAGGACTAAAGAAAGAGGCTTTGTAGAACAGTAGCTACTAAGAATCCGATATGTTTCTTTGTTTTAAAGATTTTTATGGCGATTTTTACTAAACTTGTTTAGAATTCAAGATAAATATGTTAACTTTTGTTATTTATATTTCATGAGATGAATTCACGCCGTAGCTGATACATACTTAGATGTACCCTCAGATCCATTAACATTAGGCTAATGGGAAAATATAAGAGGGTGGCATTTATAAATCGATGTTTAGAATGTGAAATGCATGAGGGACACTCACCTAAGTTTGTTCAGTAATTAGATATACTCTGCACACTAATTTCTTGAAATATGACGAGTGTCGCGTGTGTACTTCATATCCAAAAATTGAAAATTGTATAAAATTTGCACATCTAAAATTAGAAGCTCCTGGTTTCTTGATCTGACGCTGTCATGGTGACAGTTTACACCGGGCCCATATTTTATGTCCTCTCCACAGATTTGTTTTGTTTGTAGATCGATCAGTGTTCTTCATTAGCGACAATTATGAACTCACCAAATCCCATGTCAAAAGAAATTCGTGATCTTTTCAAGTCCATGAAAAGAAGAACCAAACGAAAGAAACTCACAATATGCCTAATTCATGTTGACAGAAATTCACTTTCCAATTTCATGTAACCATATCACGAACTTTCCAATTCTTCGTAAGTGCGAAGTCGAGCTGCGAGATTGCTAAGATGAAGACTGCTAATATCACACCTATATCATCCACAATCCTGTCGAATCCATGTAAACTAAGATCGCAAATTAGGTAAATTTTGATTGTTCTTTTAAAAAAGCAACTCAGAATCCTACGGAAGCCTGTAGGTACGGAAACCAGTAGGTGCCAGGTAGAAAAAATATTTTATCTGGCGGCCGCCAGATAAATTATCTGGCCACCGCCAAATAATTTTCTAACGGCCGCCAAATAAAACGATCTGGCGGCCGCCAGATAACTTATCTGGCGGCCACTATATAATTTCTGGCGGCCGTCAGATAACTTTCTGGCGACCGCCAGTTAATTATGTGGCGGCCGCCAGATAAAATATTTTTCTACCTGGCACCTACCGGCTTCCGTAGAATACTTCCACTTTAATGAGAAAAGAATTCACAAGTTTGTCTATTCCACTTAAAAATAATATCACAGTCATGCCACTTACAAACTTACAAAGTTTTCATTTCTGAGTAAAGAGAAACTTACAATCTGATAAATTCTATGAAAAAAGCTAAAAAAAAAAAATTATTCCTTAAGTTTTAAAAAATATATCAATCGTGTTAAATTCAATGTAGAATGAAAATTGATTCAAATATGACAACTACATGTACAGCTGTCCACCAAAATAGAAACGAACGAACCTGCTAATTTCACGTTAAATTATCAAACATAAAATTTCACATCACAGAAACCGACAGTCATCCTGTCCAATCAAATTCACAATCATACCAATTCAACGAACACACAAACTCACAATCTTGTCGATTTCATGTAAAAAAAAAAACAACAAAACTTTTAATCATGTCAATTTCATCTTAAAAGACATACAATTGAATATTCAACGTAAAAAGAACCTTTATTACAACGCAAAATGTAATAACAACGCAAATGTAATAAACTGTGACTATTGCATTTTATGTTATTACCTTTTGCCTAACAAATCTTAACAAATTTGGCAATACCTTTTAAGTTATTTATAATCTTGTCATTAAGAAGAAACTCAAACTTTTAATTTGTCAATTCCGCGCAAAAGAAACTCACAATATTGCAATGTAAAGATAAATTTACAATTTTGTCAATTCTAGGTTAAAAGAATAAACTATGGAGTTATTTCTGCATTACAAAAATACACTCAACAAGTTGTCAATTTCAATTAATAGGAAACGCACAAACGTTCCAGTTTCTTGTAAAAGGTCAAATTTACAATCTTAAAAAATTTCATTTAAACCACGCAAATTCTACATTATAGAAAAATAATGCATGCATTTTTTTTTTATAGAAACCAGCTATAAATCTCATAGATTTATGTTCATTTAGATAGATAGATTTAGGACCTCTAAAGACATCAGAGGTGAGATCAGGTACCATGGAGGAGTACACATCCCCTGTCGACTGGTCACACCCACCGTGTGTCCCTTGATGGAAAACGGGAAAATCCGTAGACATTTCAGTATGTAAATAAAAGCCTAACAATTTGTATGAAAAAGTTAGTCAGCACTCGACTTAGTGATAGACTGTATTTCCTGACAATGTCATTTTAATGACCATAGAATTTGCGAAATGAAGACTTAAGACGAGACTGTTGATATTCTTGTTTCATCAAGTTGTTCGTCAGTAACTTGCTTCGTTTTAGAAATTGCTAGTACGTAGAGAATGCTATGCTCTTGCATCAACTGGGAGACATAAAACATTGTTTTAAATGTGTGCAAAGGTGTAATTACACAGAAAATAGTATTAAGTTACATATTTTAACAGCAAAGAAAACCCACTTGTACGATTTCTTTATATTTCAATAATTTATCATTTATGTCATTTCCATTCAAAATCAGCCAGAAAAAAACATATTAATCCGTGCATTAAATGTTTTTGTTTGTATTATTTATTTTTCTTAAAATGATAGAAACTCTGCAATTCCATCAATTCAATGAAATCTGGACAAATCGAAAATTATTCAAGCTCAAAGTCCATTGAAACAATACAAATCGAAAGAAGAACAAACACGGACCTCCAAAAACATCAGAGATGGGATCAGGTGCCATGGAAGAGTGAACATCCCCTGCCTACCGGTCAC